CTCTCCTTCTTCTGCTGTTTCAAAACGCTTGTTTTGTTTCGGAACACTCTCCTTCTTCTGCTGTTTCAAAACGCTTGTTTTGTTTCGGAACACTCTCCTTCTGCTGTTTCAAAACGCTTGTTTTGTTTCGGAACACTCTCCTTCTTCTGCTGTTTCAAAACGCTTGTTTTGTTTCGGAACACTCTCCTTCTTCTGCTGTTTCAAAACGCTTGTTTTGTTTCGGAACACTCTCCTTCTTCTGCTGTTTCAAAACGCTTGTTTTGTTTCGGAACACTCTCCTTCTTCTGCTGTTTCAAAACGCTTGTTTTGTTTCAGAACACTCTCCTTCTTCTGCTGTTTCAAAACGCTTGTTTTGTTTCGGAACACTCTCCTTCTTCTGCTGTTTCAAAACGCTTGTTTTGTTTCGGAACACTCTCCTTCTTCTGCTGTTTCAAAACGGTTGTTTTGTTTCAGAACACTCTTCTTCTTCTGCTGTTTCAAAACGGTTGTTCCTTTTCGGAACACTCTCCTTCTTCTGCTGTTTCAAAAAGGTTGTTTTGTTTCGGAACACTCTTCTTCTGCTGCCGTTTCAAAACGGTTGTTTTGTTTCGGAACACTCTTCTTCTTCTGCTGTTTCAAAACGGTTGTTCTTTTTCGGAACACTCTTCTTCTTCTGTTGTTTCAAAACGGTTGTTCTTTTTCGGAACACTCTTCTTCTGTTGTTTCAAAACGGTTGTTCTGTTTTGGAGCACTCTTCTTCTGTTGTTTCGAAGCAGTTGTTCTGTTCCGGAACACCCTTTTTCTTCTGTTGTTTAAAAACGTTTGTTCTTTCTGTATCTTTGTGTATCTTTCTGTATCTGTATCTTTGTGTCTTTCTATATCTATATTAGGGTTGTCAAAAGTATCGATACTCAAGTATGTCTGTTGAATTTTGGAGTCTTTGTTTTTATCCTTGTGGTATCGAAAATGACATCGAGTATCGAATATTTTTCTTAGTATCGGTATCGAGTTGAAAAGTTTAGTATCGTGACAACTGTAATCTGTATTTTTCTTTCTATATCTGTATCTCGTGAATTGAGAAACGGCCCTGTTGTTTCAAAACAGTTGTTTTGTTTCGGAACACTCCTTCTTCTGCTGTTTCAAAACGGTTGTTTTGTTTCGGAACACTCTCCTTCTTCTGCTGTTTTAAAACGGTTGTTTTGTTTCAGAACACTCTCCTTCTTCTGCTGTTTCAAAACGCTTGTTTTGTTTCGGAACACTCTCCTTCTTCTGCTGTTTCAAAACGCTTGTTTTGTTTCAGAACACTCTCCTTCTTCTGCTGTTTCAAAACGGTTGTTTTGTTTCGGAACACACTCCTTCTTCTGCTGTTTCAAAAAGGTTGTTTTGTTTCGGAACACTCTTCTTCTTCTGCTGTTTCAAAACGGTTGTTCTTTTTCGGAACACTCTTCTTCTTCTGCTGTTTCAAAACGGTTGTTTTGTTTCGGAACACTCTCCTTCTTCTGCTGTTTCAAAACGGTTGTTTTGTTTCGGAACACTCTCCTTCTTCTGCTGTTTCAAAACGGTTGTTTTGTTTCAGAACACTCTCCTTCTTCTGCTGATTCAAAGCGCTTGTTTTGTTTCGGAACACTCTCCTTCTTCTGCTGTTTCAAAACGGTTGTTTTGTTTCGGAACACTCTCCTTCTTCTGCTGTTTCAAAACGCTTGTTTTGTTTCGGAACACTCTCCTTCTGCTGTTTCAAAACGCTTGTTTTGTTTCGGAACACTCTCCTTCTTCTGCTGTTTCAAAACGGTTGTTTTGTTTCGGAACACTCTCCTTCTTCTGCTGTTTCAAAACGGTTGTTTTGTTTCGGAACACTCTCCTTCTTCTGCTGTTTCAAAACGCTTGTTTGGTTTCGGAACACTCTCCTTCTTCTGCTGTTTCAAAACGCTTGTTTTGTTTCGGAACACACTCCTTCTTCTGCTGTTTCAAAACGGTTGTTTTGTTTCGGAACACTCTCCTTCTTCTGCTGTTTGAAAAAGGTTGTTTTGTTTCGGAACACTCTTCTTCTTCTGTTGTTTCAAAACGGTTGTTCTTTTTCGGAACACTCTTCCTCTGTTGTTTCAAAACGGTTGTTCTGTTTTGGAGCACTCTTCTTCTGTTGTTTCGAAGCAGTTGTTCTGTTCCGGAACACTCTTTTTCTTCTGTTGTTTCAAAACATTTGTTCTTTCTGTATCTTTGTGTATCTTTCTGTATCTGTATCTTTGTGTCTTTCTATATCTATATTAGGGTTGTCAAAACTATTGATACTCAAGTATCGATACTGAAAAGTTGTATCCGGATACAATACTCATTTTCAAAAGTATCGATTCAGTGCTACACCAGTGGCTCCTAAACAGTCATTCATCTTATGCGCAGATTAGAGGAAAATGCACTTTCTGAACACTGTGTGATTGAATAATTCTGTGCACTTTTCGGTTTCAGACTTTTTTCTGTAACAAGTGCAGCTGCTGAGAATTATTTTTGTTTTTTAACTGGTTTGGCTGGTGTCATTGTTATGTGTGTAAAGCATAGCCAAGGAAGGAACACTTAATTTTAATTTTGTAAGTTTTTTATCAAGCTTGCTTAATATTGTGCACAGCATACAACCTCAAAATATTGTTTATGGTATTTATTTATCTATTTATTGTATTTTGTTTATTGATGAACAAATTTCTGTTGGATTTTGGAGTCTTTGTTTTTATCCTTGTGGTATCGAAAATGACATCGAGTATCGAATATTTTACTTAGTATCGGTATCGAGTTGAAAAGTTTAGAATCGTTAGAATCACACCTATAACTCTAGCTATAGGTGTGACGATTTTGCGCAGAATTTGCTCTCAGAGCACTTTTCTTGTATTATTATGTTTTCAGAGATGACCGTCTCGTTTAATATAAAAAAAAAAAATCTTGGTTATAAGAGAACACATCCAATTTCCATCGCGCTTATCCCTACTGGGGAGGCGCAAGGGGTACTGGTGCCTATCTCCAGCTGTCAATGGGCATGAGTATGAAGGTTATTTTGTTTCAAAACTATTTGTGTATTGTAAGTTTGAATTTGGGTCATTGGAAGGCAGCAGGGCAGTAGGCCATACTGTATATGTATTTCTGGTTGGTACAGACTGACCGAGAAGTAGCGCCCCCTGCTGTCTGATCAAGGGTAATACCCACAAGTCACAGATCCTTTTTTCACCGGTGTGACATTTGTGTTAAAAGTAAAAATGAAGGCATAACTTGTTGAATTGAATTTGTGACTCACAGCAGCAGATTAGTGCAGTTGTATTCATTGATTTGTATTTGTGTTCATGAAAAAAATTTATATTTTTTTGGAAGATTTTAATACATGTTTGAATTTGTTGTGCACCATTTCTTTTAGATCAACTGTAGCAAAACTGAATGGAAGACATTTTTGATGTGCAACTCACAGAACACAATTTGTGTCCGTGTACTCAAGAATTTGAAGTGGTGTAACTTTTTGTTGTAATTGTGTCAGGTTTAAAAAAAAATCTACAGTTACAAAACGACAAAGTTACATTGCACAAATAATTTTGCAACAATAGTTCTGAACCATTTGAAGCAAAACTGAGATGATGTGCAACCTGTAGAACACAATTTGTGTACTTGTACTTAAAATCTGAACAACTTACTTTAATTCTACACATACAAATCTTAGAATGTAACTCTCTCTACAACTTCAAATTCACACTTACAATGCACAAATAGTTTTGAAACAAAATAACCTTCATACGAGAGGCAGGGTACACCCCGGATAGGTCACCAGTCTGTCAACACAGACAAACAACAATTGATGCACACACTCACACCTAAGGAGAATTGAGAGAATGCAGTTAACCTAACAGTCATGTTTTTGGACTGTTGGAGGAATCTGCAGATAACCCACACTTGCTCAAGGAGAACATACAAATTCCATAAAGAAAGACCCAGGGTGGACATGAACTCAGGACCTTCTTGCTGCAAGGCAGCAGTGCTACCCACTATGTTGCCATACTTTTGGAGTTCTTCTGTAGAAAAGGAGCAGGGCAAAATGAGAGAGAATACATTTAAACTCAAACTCAACTAACTAGAGGTTTCAGTAACTTTTTGCTGTGACAAACGGGGATTGTATGAGATGATTATCTCTGATAACTTCTGCTATACATTTTCATCATTCTGCTTCATTCTCTCTCTATTCTCCTATTCTGCAGAATCTGTTAGTTCAATCTCTAACATTCTGCTCTCTCTGCTTTTCCTCAGAGTAGCTTTGCCTCGTCTGTTCCTGTTTGGCTGTGACGTCATCCTGGAGAGAAACGTCAGCTGTGCTGCTTCCTTCAACACCCTTGTTTACAGATGCTGAAGATCGGCCTGTTTTCCAGTGTAGTCCTGTTTCTCTGACCGTGACTGAGTGGATGTGCTCACTTCATCCTCTGACATGGGAGCTGGCTCGGAGCTTGTCTGCCTGGCTGTGTGTTTCCTGGAAGGGGCCACCTTTTACAGCTGCTTTTTGTGTCTCTGCTTCTGTCTCCTTGAACCCCAGTCAGCCTCAGCAGATGGCCGCTCACACTGAACCTGGTTCTGCTGGAGGTTTCTTCCTGTTAAAAGGGAGTTTTTCCTCTCCACTGTCGCTACAAGCATGCTAAGTATGAGGGATTGTATTTGAGTCAATGAGTCAATGCAATCATCTGGTTTTCTTTAGATAGAAAACTTTGTATCAATTTGACTGTATGATCTGGTTGAACTGTAAAGTGCCTTGAGATGACATGGGTTGTGAATTTGGCGCTATATAAATAAACTGAATTGAATTGAATTATACAATATCAACAAGTTTCCAGTCTAATAAAATAAAAATCAAACCATTCAAACCAGTCAAGTTACCTTTATTTTTCTGAAGCAACAGGAAACTCCTTAAAATTCCTGATCTATGTCCACCTTTTGATCACTGATCAATTACGCCCCAAAGGCGTAATTGATCAGTGTCCTGAAAAAGCATTTTAACATAACAAAGAGCACATGATTTCTCTGGTTTATTTTCATGAAATTTCTTTTTTGTTGTCTCATATCCTCTGACAGATCCAGGCACGCTGGACCTCAGTAAGTCCACTTACTGCACAGAACATAAAAACACCGAAACATTAACACTGTGTGACAGCAAGACGTTTATAAAAGCACTAAGGATTTTTTAGCTCTCTGATGGCAGCTTCAGTCCCATCATAGTGTCAGTTACAGAAGCAGCTGAGGGAAGATATCACTGCTCTGATGGTCCAGCTCTCCTTTGGATGTGGGAAATCTCCAATATTGGCAAGAGGAGCTGGAAAGCATCCTGGATATAAGATGCACTGTTGGAAGCCTGAGTAAGAGAAGAAATTATGATATTTTATTAATATTATCAAACATTAAATATACTGACCAGGGCTAAATACATTATTTTGCTTACTGAAGTGCTACAAAGAGTGACTAAGACTAAATGATAGAGGACCAAGAACACTTCCCTGATGGACTACAAATAGAAGTTAGAGGCTACAGTTGCAATACTTCTTCCCAGACTTACATCCACCCTCTACATCTTTTATAAAAGCTTGTGTCAATAAAATGCAAAATTCCCTTAACATACTCCCATCTGAAATATATTATCTCTAACAAGTTCAAAATTTGTCACAATAACTCCTGCTAGTGGCAGTGTGAATGATATTCCTTAAGAGGCTTCCTTAGCATATGCTTTGTTTTAATATCATGCAGTTTTTGCAACATTCTGGTAAGTTGAGTAAAGAAAAGTTACCTATTTGGGTTTCTATTACTTTCAGCAGTTTGATAAAGAGCTGTGTCAAATATTTTATGGTACAGTAGCTGGACCAAATTAAAAACACCACAAAATTCCCAAAACCTTTTAGTCTCAATAAATCTAAATATAAGAAAAAACATCTTCTAAGCTAAAAACATTAAAAGTTGTACCTTCATGATACTTTTAAGATGGTTATGTAATCAAATAAAGAACAAAAATCAAACACACAATATAAATTTAAGTAAACCAGAACGAAGTCCAAGGAAGACAAGCCTAGCTATCTTGAGCTATCACCACATTTATGCTGCTATAGGCTTAGGTGGCTGGAGGACATGGGGGCCTTCTCTTCTTCAGTTTTACAATATTTGTTGATGTCTAAATTAAAGTGATCTTAATACTTTTTCATATGAGCAACTTCATCTGGTCTGATGCACTGTTGAGCTGTGAGATTAACCTGGACGAAGGCATCAGCTGGGCTGCTGTCATCAACAGCTTTTGTTGCTTTTAGTGTTTAGTCCTGTTTCTCTTAGATATATTTATGGGCTCAGCTTTTACTGTGACTATCTGTATGTGATCCCATCCAACCAATCTTTTCGACATTTAAACAACAAATAGACACAAAAATAAACTCCAATCTCCTTTAAACACTAAACAAACCACTTTTAAAATGTAACTATTTTAAGTTTAATTGTTTAAGTTACTGTGAAAAACAGTTAAAAATATTCATCAAAAATAAAAAAATTATTACCTCTCAAAATTGGTCATTTATTGAGATCATTTTGACCATTCCCCCTACAATTACACTTAGCCCCCCCGCCAATCCCCTATCCTCTGCAATAATGTTGAAAGTGTACTGTCGATAAAGCTTTTGTTATAAAGCATAATATGAACACAAACCTCAAGAAAGACTCCTGTAATCAGTGGGTTGAGCACCTCTCCCTTCTCATTCAACTGTAAAAAAAAAAAAACATTACCGCTGATTTCATATCTTTATTCATTCAAATCAAGAACATTGACTTCTTCAAGTACAGAACTAAGTCAAACACGAATACTCTCTCCTAAGGTAAACAAATGACAAAGCATCAGCTCACTTACCCCCGCAGTGGTCAGACAGGAGGTAAACTTTTTGGAGAGCAGAGAGATTTCTTTACAAAGAACAACCGTTAATCTGAAAACAGACAGATTAAATGTAGTAAACCTGCAGCCCGTCTCTGTGTATGTGGCAAGCAGAAAATGTAGCATGTCTTCTTACTGTGACAGGACGCTGGCGTCCGTGCTGCTGTTGGAGAACAGGATTATCTCGGCCAGCTTTTGGAAAAGTTCGATGGATCGAGCAGTCAGCTCTGCAAGACTCCTGATAGCGGCAGCGTGCACATCCTACGGAATTCAACAAAAAGGCTAAATGTTTTCTCTGTTCATGTTTGTTTTCCACAGGGTAACCAAATCCAAAAAAAAAGCTGGTTTGTGATGCTTTAAATCCCGTTGGATTATGTTTATTTTAAATCTGCCTCTTGTTAATAACCGTCATGTTTTAAAGTAAAGATGGACTCACCTCTGCAGAGTGGGTCTTGTCATTCTGTTCTCCGTCTTCCTGTGGTGCGCTTATGTTGTTTATTGTGCAGCGGGTGTTCTTACAGGTCTGTGGAATGACAGAAACAACATTATCACATAAAACATGTAACAACTGACTGCCAAACTAGAATCTATACTCTTATCTAAATGTACACTCACCGGCCACTTTATTAGGTACACCTGTCCAACTGCTCGTTAACACTTAATTTCTAAGCAGCCAATCACATGGCGGCAACTCAGTGCATTTAGGCATGTAGACATGGTCAAGACAATCTCCTGCAGTTCAAACCGAGCATCAGTATGGGGAAGAAAGGTGATTTGAGTGACTTTGAACGTGGCATGATTGTTGGTGCCAGAAGGGCTGGTCTGAGTATTTCAAAAACTGCTGATCTACTGGGATTTTCACACACAACCATCTCTAGGGTTTACAGAGAATGGTCCAAAAAAGAAAAAACATCCAGTGAGCGGCAGTTTTGTGGGCGGAAATGCCTTGTTGATGCCAGAGGTCAGAGGAGAATGGCCAGACTGGTTCGAGCTGATAGAAGGGCAACAGTGACTCAAATAACCACCCGTTACAACCAAGGTGGGCAGAAGAGCATCTCTGAACGCACAGTACGTCGAACTTTGAGGCAGATGGGCTACAGCAGCAGAAGACCACACTGGGTGCCACTCCTTTCAGCTAAGAACAGGAAACTGAGGCTACAATTTGCACAAGCTCATCGAAATTGGACAATAGAAGATTGGAAAAACGTTGCCTGGTCTGATGAGTCTCGATTTCTGCTGCGACATTCGGATGGTAGGGTCAGAATTTGGCGTCTACAACATGAAAGCATGGATCCATCCTGCCTTGTATCAATGGTTCAGGCTGGTGGTGGTGGTGTCATGGTGTGGGGAATATTTTCTTGGCACTCTTTGGGCCCCTTGGTACCAATTGAGCATCGTTGCAATGCCACAGCCTACCTGAGTATTGTTGCTGACCATGTTCATCCCTTTATGACCACAATGTACCCAACTTCTGATGGCTACTTTCAGCAGAGTAATGCAACATGTCATAAAGCTGGAATCATCTGAGACTGGTTTCTTGAAGATGACAATGAGTTCACTGTACTCAAATGGCCTCCACAGTCACCAGATCTCAATCCAATAGAGCATCTTTGGGATGTGGTGGAACGGGAGATTCGCATCATGGATGTGCAGCCGAAAAATCTGCGGCAACTGTGTGAGGCCATCATGTCAATATGGACCAAACTCCCTGAGGAATGCTTCCAGCACCTTGTTGAATCTATGCCACGAAGAATTGAGGCGGTTCTGAAGGCAAAAGGGGGTCCAACCCGTTACTAGCATGGGGTACCTAATAAAGTGGCCGGTGAGTGTATATCTTTATTTTAACCAGCCTGGAAAAAGGATACTTTCAAAAATAACTCAATTTCAAACACCCATCCATTCTTTTTTCTGTCATGCTTATCCCAAGCGGGGTCTTGAGGGGTGCTGGTGCCTATCTCTGACTGTCTACGGGTAAAAGGCGGGGTACACCCTGGACAGGGCGTCAGTCACAATTTCAAACATAATAGCAGTAAAAACATTTAAATTTTTTTCATCAAAGCTATAGAATGAAACGGATTATTATTGCAAAGTTACATATATATTTTTAGTTGTGACTGTGGCTCACACTGAGCCTGGTTCTGCTGGAGGTTTCTTCCTGTTAAAAGGGAGTTTTTCCTCTCCACTGTCGCTACAAGTATGCTTAGTGTAAGTGATTGCCTTCGAGTCAATGAGTCGATGCAATCAACTGGTTTTCCTTAGATAGAAAACTTTAAATCAATTTGACTGTATGATCTGGTGAACTGTAAAATGCCTTGAGATGACATGTGTTGTAAAATTGGCGCAATATAAATAAATTGAATTGAATCGAATTAGATGTTAAACCAGCATATTTGGACACAACAGCTTTTTCAGAGCTATTTTACCCTGGACATTTTTACATTGTATTTACACAGATTTAGATCTGCCATAACAGATGCAGTCCTAAAGGACATTATAGTACAACATAGGAGTAATGTGTTGGATCAGACAAACTAAAGCAAACTGAACATAACATCTCCATGGAGTGAATTCGCAGATTCCGTATAAATAACCTGCAAAGACAAATTCTAATCATTTTGTACTTTAAAACTTCTATTTTCATAAATTACTTTTTCCATGCGGTGTCTAACACGTCCGGTTGCGTGTGCTGGGAATGCATCAAAAGTTTTTAACGACACTGGGTGATTGTTTTTAGACACATTGCTGAGCCTGTAAGCCTGGTTTTATATGGCAGAACTAAAAATCCTGTTAATTTAACAGGGAAGGAGATTCAACGTCTATTTGACATGGAAAGACAGGGTCATGTATAATCAGCCTTCACAAAAAAAGTCAATATATTTATCCGAATTTGTAATCCTATTTTACATTTAAACTATATATTATCCTGGAAAATTATACTTTTTATTTTGCTTTCATCTAATCAGTGGTTCCTACACTCTGAGTCTAACGATGCAAGCCAATCCGGGATCAGTCATACCTTACTGAGCTTGTCAGCTGTGGCGGAAATGTTGAGACCATCTACGGCTGCTGTTAAATCATTCACGAACTCTGTGCCATCTTCATCTTGGATTAGAGAAGGGAAGATGATTCAATTCCAACGACTTTCATGTTGAAGACATGATATTCCCAAAAAGTCTTACCTTTCTTGTCGTCGACCTCCTCGTCATCAAACTCCACCATGGAGAAAGAGTCTTTGATTTGGTCCAGCTCCTCTCTGAGCTGGATCGGCTCATCTCCAGACAGGGTTGTCAACACAGACTTCACCTAAATGAAATAAGCAGTGGAATAAATGAAAAGTAAAAAAAAAAGCCTCAGAAAAGGTACCAAACTAAAACAAACAGCAATTCCCTCCATAGATGTTTTAAAGGTGGTATTTTAATTGGCAGGAGGCGCTTCTAGAATAGATGATAGCAGTGAAAACCTGACAAACCCCTTTACAGCAAGCATCAGTTAGGATGCAGCTATTGCACTTTTACTCAATATTTTAGAATTTTGACTGTTTAAGCAGGCTCCTTTGAGGTTTTTAAATCCTCTTTAAAATCACATTTCCTCTCCCTGGCTTTTAATCATGTCTAAGTGGACATTTTGCAAAATTTTATTTTCAATTTAATTTTATTCTCAAATGTATTTTAATTGAAACATTTATCCTATTCTATTTTTATGTGTTTATGTATTTTAGCCTTCAGTTTTTATGTTATGTTCCTTAACTGTGATTCCTGTACAGCACTTTGGTCAACCCTGGTTGTTTTAAATGTGCTTTATAAATAAAGTTTGAGTTGAGTTGAGGATGAAGGTTTATTTGTGTAATTTTTTTTTTTTTTCTAAAAAAAACAAAAAAAACAATGATAGATAATAAAAAAGAACAGCTAAAATATTTCAAATTATGTAGAACTCAGTCTATTTCAGATTATATCCAGGGGAGGAAATTCCATGCTTATATGGACTTCCAAAAATTCACAAAGAAGGGGCACCACTCAGGCCCATCGTCAGCAGCATTAACTCAGTAACATACAACATTGCTAAACAGCTTACTAATATCTTAGCTCCCTTGGTGGGGAACACACCACATCACATAGAAAACTCCAAAGACTTTGCCAACAAAGCCAAACATTTAAGGATGGCTCCAGGAGAAACCTTGGTATCGTTTGATGTTACTTCACTTTTCACATGCATACCTATAACAGAGGCAGTGGAAACAGTCAGGACACGTCTTGAACAAGATAGTGATTTAAACAACAGGACTAATTTCACTCCGGACCAGATCTGCACACTACTGGGCCTTTGTCTTTCCACAACCTATTTCAAATTCAGAGGTAATTTTTACAGACAGAAGCATGGCTGCGCAATGGGATCTCCAGTATCACCAATTGTAGCCAATCTTTACATGGAAGAAATGGAAAAGAGAGCTTTAGACACTTTCAATGGAATACCACCAAGCCACTGGTTTAGATACGTGGATGACACTTTCGTCAAAATCCAACTAGAGGAAGTGGAAGCTTTCACCAAACACATCAACTCTGTTGACCGTAACATCAAATTCACCAGAGAGGATGCCAAGGACAACAAACTACCCTTTCTGGACTGCCTGGTGAGCATGGAAGGAGATGGAAGCCTAAACATTGAAGTGTATAGGAAACCTACTCACACAGACCAGTATCTTCTTTTTGACTCACACCACCCACTGGAACACAAACTCTCAGTCATCAGAACCTTACAACACCGGGCAGAACATGTCCCTACTAAAACAGATTGGAAGCAAAAAGAACAGAAACACATCAAAGATGCTCTCCAAAACTGTGGATATCCAAACTGGGCTTTTATCAAATCAGCAAGGAAATCCAAAAGACACGCAACAGAAGACAGCGATGGGAAAATTAAACGCAAAAACATCACAATCCCTTATGTTGCTGGAGTGTCTGAAAAGCTCAAGAGGATTTTCTCCCAAACACAAGATCCCAGTACATTTCAAGCCAAACCAAACCCTTAAACAGAGGCTAGTGCACCCTAAAGATAAAACCTCCAGACCGAATATGAGCGGAGTGGTATATGCTGTTCAGTGCAGCGAGGAATGCTCTGATCTTTATATTGGCGAAACAAAACAACCTCTCCACAGACGCATGGCCCAACACAGAAGAGCGGCCGCCTCTGGACAAGACTCCGCAGTACACCTACACCTTATGGACAAAGGACATTCTTTTGAGGACCAGAATGTCCATATTCTGGATAAAGAAAATAGGTGGTTTTAGAGGGGCGTGAAGGAAGCCATCTATGTTAAGAGAGAAAAACCAACTTTAAACAGAGGTGGTGGACTCAGATTCCAGCTTCCAAAAACATACAATTCAATCATAGACATGATCCCTTCCAGATATCACCAAACCCCCCACCCCATCACAGAGGAACGAGGGACCTACCCGCCCCAGCCGGTGAACAATACCTCCTTAACGACCAACCCTTAACAATCATAGACAGGTTTCAGGTATTACAGGAGACAATCCCCCCCGTTAATGGCAATCCCCCCTTTAACGACCGACCCCTAGAATCATAGACAGGTTCAGATATTACAGGCTAACGATGGAACTAACGAACCATTCATCGGTTACCATTGCATGTTTCCAAGCGATACAAGGCGTGTCTATATAAGACTCAAACTCACTGCGGATCCAGACATTTGAATTGAGAAAGCTTCCTGGAGAGGTGGCGAAACGTCTTCAAATCTTGAAAACCAAGTCCAGTGGATATTTTTTGAATTTTTACGGGTAGAACTCAGTATGGTTTATGCACTGGACTTACAGGAGCCAAAATATCTCATATTTTCAGGGAGTTGGTTTCAGCGGCGAGGATTAGACTGACACAGATCCTTAAATCACTTTTCTTGCTCCCTGACATATTTTTGCAGTAGCTAGTTTTCAGGCCTAAACATGAAAGAGCTGATCCCTCACTGCTCCCTGAACCAAAGGGAGCAAAGGGAGGCAGCATTTAGTATTACTTTCTTATTTAGCTCAATTTTTAAGCAAAGATGTTACTATTACACTATTATGTATCGTCATGTTTTAAAACTGTGATCTGAGCTAACGGGGCAAGATAAAAAATAAAAATAAACCCAAGGCTTTAGGAGCCCCTCTAGGGGTTATATTTTTGTTTTATATTTACATAAATTAATCTACATATATTGAATATGTGTGTTTACTATTTGTTTAGTATGGAAGAACATGAGGAGAGTGTTGAGGACAGTAGGGAGGATCATCAGGGCTCCTGTATTATAAAATTTAGGCAAGATCGGGATGAGTCGGTAATAAAGATGCACACACAGAACGCACACACTGTGTCTGCTAGAGTGAAATGTGTCGTTTTATTCCGCCGCAGCAAAGCAAGCTTCTTCAACAAGTGGTTTCTCACCTTCCTTATGTTTCTGCTTAAACATCTTTACCACAGCTCTCCAGCAATCCTGTTCGTGACGCCAGAAAATGTATTATGAAATTTAGGCAGGATCGGGAAGAGTCGGTAATAAAGATGCACACACAGAACACACACACTGGGTCTGCTAGGGTTGCGCACGCACGCCTAGCTGCGGGGGTTGCTGCCCTGCAGGGATCGACTGGCCCTCCAATCCTTGTGTCACGATAGGTGGACAATATAAATTGCAATGGGACAATATAAATTGTATGGAGACAATATGATTTGTATTCAGCACCGTGCCTTGATTGATGTGCTTGCTTTGCTGTGTTCTGTGTGTGGATCTTTATTACCGACTCATCCCGATCCTGCCTAAATTTCATAATACAGCTCCTCTTCCCTCCATTATGGACATTTCATCCCAGCGCTGCGTATCCTTGTAACATCATCAGTGACCCCTCACACCCCCACCATGGACTGTTCTCCCTGCTCCCCTCTGGGAAGAGACTTTGCAGCATTCAATGCAGGACCAGCAGGTTCTGCAATAGCTTTTTGTCCGCTGCCATCAGACAGCTGAACTGTTAAACTCTAAAATTGACTTTGCAACACATTATTTTGCACCACCAATGTTGCTGAACTTCTATAAACCCTTAAAATAGGACACCACTCAATGTTTCTACTGCATTTTGCACCATATTTATTTATGCACTGCACTGGAATTTTTCATATTAATGCCCTTTTGCACCAACATTTTTGAAACTGTTTTTTTTTTTCCAACATTGTTTACATTCTGATCACTGCTGCACTTTATATTGGCAATTTTTATCTATTGCAACTACAATAGAATTCCACTGTAAGCTGTATGCAACAAAATTTTGTTTTGTATACAGTTAAATTGACAATAAAGTTTTTCTAAGTTTTATTACTCTGGTTAATTTTGCTTTTAAGCTTTGCAAATAAAATAACTATATTTTCAATGACAAATGACACAAAGCTACCCAGGTTGACCAAGTAAAATCTGTCCCATCCAGTTTTCCCGTTTATCTGGTCAACTCTATTAAAATACCGCTAGAGATAGTTATTTGATGTTTGACCGTAAGGATGAATGTCATTTAAAATGTTCTTTTCACATTGTTTTTAAGTTTTAAAAAGTATTTTGAATAACACACATTATTTCAATGTAACTTGTTCTTTTAAGGCAATAATGAATAATAACAATAATAAACTCTACCTTGGACTCGCTATCTCTGGACAAGATCTCCAGGGCCTCCAGGTGAGACAGACCCTGATATTCATCAAACAGCATGCTGTAGTGAGCAACCACCTTCTTCTCTGTATCTGACGATTCCTTCTCTGCCGTCTCTAACTCTTCTCGCTCCTTTGCTTCCCGCAAAACCTGAAGAAAAATTTAATAATAGAAATAAATTGTCACTTAATAAGCCACCTATCGGATTCACTAAAAACTGTTAGGCTTTACCAACCTGAGACAGAGTGGCGTTTCTGTTCATCAGTCCTTTGGTCTTTTTAAAGCCAGGATCGCCCTCAGCTATCACATCCATTGTTTTCTTCCCAATGAACTCCAGAGCATCCAGCCCTCCTGTGATCACAGTCTTCCCCTACAATTCAGTTCAATTCAGTTTATTTATATAGCGCCAATTCACAACACATGTCATCTTAAGGCACTTTACAGTTCACCAGATCATACAATCAAATTGATTCAAAGTTTTCTATCTAAGGAAAACCAGTTGATTGCATCGACTCATTGACTCAGATGCGATTCCTCAGAGATGTTCAGTTTATTTGAGGCTATTTTGCCTGATTAACAGTGCAAGGCACCGCTTGCAGTGAAACATCTTACCGTGGTCTGAACGACGCTGGTCAGAGACGATAACATTCCCATCGCACTTCCCACTGGAGACGATCCGTCGGCTGCAGCTTTTTCAGTGTTGCTGTTGCTCTCCTCTGCCAGAGAATCAAAGACTCACAATCACAAACTTTTACAGAAATTTTTTTTTTTTTTTTTGCTTTCTTCAAACACACAACATGTCTCACCCTGCTGTTTTTCTTCTTCTACCACCTTATCTGACAGTTCAGTTGGACTGGGAATTCCCAGAGATGTTTCTGCCTTTTCGATGACCTGGGTGAGCCCTTGGCCTGAATGAACGGATGGGGAGACACAAATGGTAAAGATATGGGAACAGACTTGGTTAAGGTCTTTCTAGTTGCCATCCCTATTTGATATCATTAAAGAAAAAATGTAGAAATTGTTTTATGTTTTATCTAAACATTATCATTATCTTTTAGGTACATGAAACCTAAGCTAAAAAAATAAGAGTTTGAAGTATTGGATTCTCACCCACAGTGGCCACAGTAGCTGTTGCTGTGGACAAGATAGATTTACCCCAGCTGCCCCAGTATCCCCATCCGCCTTGAGAGACGGTTGTATCACTAGGAGACTGTGAAAGATGAGAAGACAGAGAAATAAAACAGGAAAGACAAAAAGAAGACCTCAGTTTAATAGGACAGTAGGTCATTCTTTGACAAAAAATTCAGGAATAACCAGATAGATGTACTTCTTTAAAGTTTTATTAGCTTAGACTTAATAAGGGGTCAAAACCAGAAGCAGAAAAGTAGAACACATCATGTGGGCTTCTTTAAACTTTTTGGGACCTAATTAAACTTATTAAAATAAAACAAAAACAAAAAATCTTGAAAGCAAATATTTGGTATGCTGTTGTATATAAGAGTGCCATTAACGCAAACTTGGGCTAATATAATTTTTTTTTTTTTTTTTTACGGTAGTATATTTAATCAAAAGAGAAACCCTGAAAGATGTTACATAGAATGTATCCTAAAAAATTTGATTTTCCAAAAGTTTATTAACTAAATCTATCGACTTCATTCCAAATCCACATAGTCCACTTCTAAATAAGTTGTTTTGGTTTTCCACGCCCCGTCCTCCCAAAGACTGCGCCCTCACAACCTGCAACTATGACAACCAATCAGAGTTGTAAAGATGGCAGCATGGACTAATACATTAGACGAAGGCCGTAGATTGACCGACGGGCTGCTATAGACCGCTCAGGACCGCTTATTTTCCCTGATGACATCATAAGCCTTTCAAACATACCATTTTGGGCAAACAGTAGCTGAGGGGTGCAGAAAGGCAGTATTATAGGGAAAAGAGGAGAAAGACATTTTTTCCATTTGTGAATCTAATATAGAGGTGGCAGGACACAAATGACTGTTACAAAATGTTTATAATTGGAAATTAGCATAATAATGGATCTTTAAAATAACAATGAATTGAGACGGTATAGATAAACTACAACACTCTTATTTTATTTGTTAATGAAATAAATAAATTAACTATTACAGGACTTGATTGGATGTACCCGTAAGCAATATAAACGCCAGAATCTTCACAAATTCAAGAAAATAACAGTAACATGTAAAATCTTTATTTGTCAAATACAATAAACTAATAATATAAAACACTGTGTAGTTTGTCCAAAGCTGCATTACAGCAATAAATAAAGCATGTTCCATTGGTGTTATTGTTAAAGGACTACTAACCCCTAAATCAACTTTCTTTGCCATTAAACTGCATAGATCGATGTCTAATAGAGCTGATTTCTTATTCTGGAAATTTGTTACACATTTAATAGAATCCTGCGTAAAACTCTATGTTTGGCGCCCCTTCACGGTTATAAAAAGGATTACTGCATCGGATATTTTATAAGGACTGATTTTCTAAAAATGGAAAATTAAATAAAATCATGATATTCTTTCTATTAAAAAAATTATGAAAATAGGAAATGCATAAAAAATAAAAAATTTAAAATATATTAGAATTGGTCAAAAATTAGTCTCGTCTCTCTAGTCTAAAATAGTAATTTGATTTGCATTTCTTGTCAATGAGTCTACAGAGAAGAATGTTATTAGATGTTGTTTATCAAGAGTGTTAGGTTTGGATAGCTATTGATGGTCCTATGGCTGCATAATATGAACAAAACTTAAATTACAGTATTATCTAAATTTCAGTCGATGCGATATAACTCTGATATCGATATGAACAACAGAAAAGCCTCACAAAGATTGCCAGGAATGACCCCTACAGATGCCTGTGCAAATATTTGAAGAAAAAAAAAATTGTCTATCAAACAAAGAAATAACTGTAAAAAAATAAATAAAAAAAACATCTAATTATAGATATTTGGAGCTACAAGCTTAACAGATTAAATGAACATATAACCAGGTGATTATATTTCTCTTCACATATCTCAGTCCAGGTTTCTTGCCTCATCATAGTTTCTTTGTTATTACCTGCTTTATTTTTTGATTGATTGTAATAGGTTTGAAGTCTGAGTTTAAAAATCCATATAATAGATTAGTAGAACAATCATAACTAGCTTTGAAAGTCCAAACCAAAGGTCACCAGTTAGTGCTGCAACATCTCACTTTTGATAAACCTTTATCGGCATTGACAGAAAAACTTTACAGGCTCCTTTTTTTAATCATGCAGGTAGGATTTCTCTCTCTTTCTCTCACTCACGTCACAGCTTCCCTCTCACTATAGTCTTTATGTATATACCATTGTTTGTTAATGAAAGTTTGGTTTATTTTGCACTTTACATCTTTAGTAAAACGACAGATTGCAGCCACACGATTGAATGAAACAGTGAATGATAACAACATTTACCAATGATCATCTTAATTAAAATTAAATTTACAAATTTACACATCATATAATGTCAAAGGACGACTCCCTGTCAGGGGGGTAACAAGCTTGCGGTCTCCTCTTTTATTTAAAGGCCCATCCTGCAAGCATGCTTTAAATATCATGTGTGGCTGGAAGTAAGGTAATGGAAGGACTTGTGCTTAAAAAGCTACCTTTGCTGGCTGCGGACTCTCCTCTGCTTTTGCTGTTGCCTCAGCTTCCACTGCAGGGTTGGCCTCTGGCCTCCTCCTGGCTTTCCTCGTCGGAGCAACATCAGTGGTGTTGTCTGGCGTAGATGGCGAGGAGCTGCCTGGTGTTTCAGCAGGAGAGGGCTCTTGCATCCCGGGTGCTTCCTGCGTTCCCTCGGCAACGGCATGAGGTGCTTCACTATCTGACATCTTATCTTATATCTCAGCAGAGCATCTCTGCAGAATGAAACCAGTGATATGAAGGTTTAAGAATATTCTAATAACACAACTGGGACTATTAATGCTTTATAAGTGAAACTCTTATTTAAACAACAGCATGCATATCTGAGGATATCTGTCAATAAAGAAAAGGGAACTTCTCAGACTGGTTTTGCTGATATCAAAATTGTTGCTTCTATAGCAACTTAAAAGCAAGCATGTATTTCTAAAATGTATCAATCCTAAATATGTCTTAAAAATGTTTTAATTGAGTTTTGTGAGTTAAAAGCTTTTTCAGTGCACACAAACATTGCCATCTACGTCCAATAAATATTCTTAAGTTTTCAGCTAATTCAATCTTACAAACAGGGTTAATTTTATACCCCTTAGTTCCCATTAATTAGAGTAAATGTACAGGCTGACTTCATGTTCACGTAAAATATATCATAATTATGTCAGGTCTTAACTGGAAACATCATTCAAAAGGGGAATATTAATGTACATTTTACCGTAAAACGGTCAAGTTAGCTCTACTAAAACGTAGGTATTAATTAATTGTTCTAAACTCAAAGTTTAGAGTAATTGCCAACAAGCTTCTTTTCTTTTATAAAAAGCTTTAAGTCTCACCATCATCCTAATTCTTTGCTATATCCACAGATTTATCTCAGTCTGTCACTCCAAACATTCCCATTTTTGTCACCTGACAATGTTTTCACCCCTTAAGCACGTCTCCCAAGACCACATTTCGCAGCTTTGGAACAAATGCTGTTAGGACTGGTAGTTTTTCTTCATGACATGACTTTTTTTTTTTTTAGCTTTTTAGTCACATTGGTTAACAAATATACATGTCTAAATCATAATGGAGATTTTCTTTTTATAATATATTTAATGACAAAACTGAAGTCTAGATGTCCTATTTTGCAACAAGCATGCAATATTTTGGCTGAATCGCACTCTTCTCTGCTTTCCTTTGAATCAAAGACCTTTCTTAAGGCTACAGAGCATTCCTTTACCCAACTTAATCGTTACCCACTGGTTTGAATCTAATCAAGCAGTGTATAACTTCCATTAGACTGTCTGTATTAGGTCATTGCAGCCACAAACTCTTGTTAAGTCATAACCTTTCCTAAAAAAAAAAGAGCTTCTGTATCGACCTGCTAATTCAACCTTGTAAAGGTTTTTCTGTGTTTTCCTATATATAAGGGTTATTAGGTCCGATGCCCAGCAGCTTTTAGATGCATCTCCTTCCTTCACATTGGAATCAGATCATTAGCAGAGAACTCTTTACACTGGAAACAAAATCGAAATCTAGATAAGTCAATTTTTTGTTGAAATAAGTGCATTTGTTCTTGAATTGAGAAGGTAAAAGAGATTTTTTGCCAATGGAACAAGACAATTTATATTTAAAATTAAAAAAACACAATTACTTTGTCTTATTTGTAGTTCATATTATCTAAATATCTTATTTGAAGAGTAAAAATACTCAATCCATTGGCAAATCATCTCATTTACATAGTCAAATTAAGGGTAAATACACTTAATTTAAGACATTTTTGCTCATTTTTTCCAGTGTAGAAATTAACTGCGTGGTAAGGAGCTATTTGTTTCAAATCTATTGGATCAGATATATATATGTGAATGATGAAAACATGAGTTCATCTAAATAAGCTCTGAGTATTAATGTCAATGTTAATGTTTTTTAAAATACAATCTAGTTTAAAGTTGGTCCTACAATCTGTGAATTTAACTAAACATCAACGGTCTCATATCCAAACGGAACAGGAACAGTCATGAAACAAAAAGAAAACTGTAGTAATCTAATCAAACTGTTCAACAAAAGCAATTCTTCTGTGATCTCTGCTGTTTAAAGTCTTTATGCTAGCAGCTAATGTTTACCTCAAATCTGCACGTTATGTCCTTACCGGAAGTAATTAGAAGAGTTTGTCCCTTAAATTACTGTTTGGATTCCAAGATGCAGATCTGAAATTTATATATATTTTTGTCAGAGTGCAGCGAAGTAATTCGGGATTCTTGTTTTTGTTGTCCAGATGGATTAGCCACGTCACATTTTGTTTTCAAAGGTTAGGGTCTGTCAACTGCTGTGGGGGCCGGGACTTCCGTCTGAGGTTTTCAAAATAAAATATTTCCCGAAAAATCAAACTTAGACGTTCCTCACTGTGTTGCATTACCTCATCAGACAATTTATCTCACTGTTGCTATATAATGCATTCATGTTTCTTTTTTTTTTTTCTTTTTTTTACCAAATTTTATCGGCGTTACCATTAATGTGCTTTATTTTTAAAGGAGAGGTATATTTATTGGTTATTCTATAAAGGTAAACGGCAGTACATAATTTTAGATCACTTTATATCGAAAATAGAACTTAGAGAGTTTCAATAGTTTTTTGTTTTCCCCTTTAAGTGAAAATCTATTTATGTATTTTATTTAAAAAAATATAGGCCAACGATTTATTTTTAGGTAAATTTTTACATTTATATATTGACATAATTAAAAAAAAAAAAATTTTTTACAGTTGTTCTACGTATTTTGAGCCACGCCCACTTCAACACCTGTACCCGGAAGTTGTTGGATCATGCACTTTGTTTGACTTGAAGGCTGAGGAAGACAAACTCCTGATAAATACACTTTTCTTTTGATCTAAAACAAATCTAAATCTTCTTAACAATCAGTATTTTGAGGCCAAACAATAGGTGAGTTAACTTTATGAAAGATGTTTGTCTGAAGTATGCTGATTGTTTAACTGGTAGGGATCTGTGCTGATGTAATCTAAGGTAAAGTAACTTTTCACTGTTTTTTTTTTTTTTGTAAGTACCTACATCTATTAAGATGTAAAATGTATTTCTAAAATGTATCAACCCTAAATATATGTCTTGGAAATGTTTCAATTAAGTTTTGTGAGTTAAAATACCTTTTAAAACAATTTATTGCCATCTACCATCCAATACATTTTCTAAAGTTTTCAGTAAATTCATTTACATACAGGGTTAATTTAAAACTGCTTAGTTTCCATTAATTCCTTTAAATGTACAAGATGATTTTATGTTCAAGGAGAATATGTCATAATTAAATCAGATCTTAACTGGAAACATAAACATGACTCAAAAGTCATTTATAATGTAAATTCACCAGTAAATGTTGATGTAAAACAATCAAGTTAGCTCTACTAAAACTAAGATGTAAATAATTTCCATATTCATCAGGATATGAAGTGTCTTTGTATAAGGAGCAGGAGGACCCAAAACGCCCTCATATCTTTTAGTTATACTATCTGAATTTAAGAAGGTGCATGTTTGTTTTCATTTATAATTAAACTTAGAAAAACAAATGTTTGTTAAGATACTTAAAGATTTTAATATTAACATTTTATCCAAAACTGGGGAAACTGAGGGGAGGAAAAAATAGGTCAGGAGTGTATGTGCTGTGTGACAGTCAGTGACTCTTCCCGTTTTGCAGGATTTTCTGGTCTAGATGTGAACTGAACCTGAAACTCCACCCAAAATGTTATCACATCAGATGCACCGCCTGTCACACGCCCTCATCGTGCTCCTGCTGCTTGTTTGCTGGACAGCAGATGGAGCTCACAATGACACAGAGGCAGGGACCTTCACACATCTGGCCTCGGTCCCCCCTGGCAAGTATATCTTGGCAAAGGAGGGATCCAGCACACTAATTGAGTGTAATGTGACTGCAGATCAAGAGGATGTTAGGTGGTACAACTCCAAAGGACTTCTCCTTGAAGACAAAGAAGGTAGGGTGATTCCATGATTAGGTTTATTATTTTAAATGCTAATGGACAAAACCTTTTGTGAAGACTAAGATAGTAATTTAGTCTTATAATATTTGAGCAGCTAATTAAAAGTCTTTAAATTCAAAAGTCTTAAAAGGAACTGTAAACACAGCCTAAAATCAACCTGTGACAAACAAGTCAGCAAAGACAGCAAAGAGCAAGATGTTGCAGAAACCGTGTCAATGGCTTGAATACAGTGTCAGAACATTTTCAAAATTACAGCTCTTGTGGGGGTTCTGTTAGGTATTTGTCAAATACTTTTCAAGGAAAGAACAGTGGAGAACCAGTGACAGGTACATGGTGTTCAAAGAGACATTAATGATGAAACCTGGTACTTATGGCCTGATGTGAGAGATCTGAATCTTAAACTTAAACTACAGAAGAAGGGAAAGCTCATTCTGGGAAAAGACACTGGTATGTCATAATATGTTGTAATATAGGTGATAGGCTGCAGACCTGTCAGAGTGGCATCAGTGTTCCTTGATGGTTCTGACCTTTCACAGGATAATGATCCTGCAAAACAGCAAAAACAAATTAGCAGTGGTTTTAGGAGCATTACAATGGTTTTTAAGGTGTTGAATTGGCCTCCAGATACCCCACATCTCTATCAAATTGAGCAATTTTCATTTTAGCCATGCAAAGGAAAGTTAGGTCCAGAGAGGTTACATCTAACAAAGTACAGAATTTATAAGGTCATCTACGTGTCAGATATATCACCACACCTTAAGTAGTCTAGTATATTGCGTCCGTCCATTTCTCCACTCATCTATCCACCCATCCAGCCATCCATCTTCTTCCTCCTATCCGCCAGTCATGGTCTGACTGGTGCCTATCTCCAACAGTCTGTGCAAAAGGAGGGGTGCTAATTAACTTTAGAGTATAGTGGAGGTTTTCGCAAATTTGTGAAAAGACCCGCCCTCTCCACTTTAAAAAAAAAATGCACATGCACAACCCCGAACCAACTCCCGAGAGGGAACGCTTAGTAAACGCATGGGAGAGCATGTATGAGCCCATTTCACACTCTGTTTAAAAGTTGCTGTTTGCATCGCTCATACAAGCTAACTTTCCAGAAGAAGATTTGCAATTTTCACAATATGTCAGACTCACCGCCGGCAAGTGAAAATGGGGACGAACACATAGGAGGGCCTTAAGTAAACATATCACCAGAATGATTGACGATTAGGAGGACCACTTATTTTGATAAGGAATAGGAACATCCTCCACTACATCTTTAATAGTCATGTTTTTGGACTGTGGGAGGAAGCTGAAGTACCCAAAGAGAACCTAAGTATGCACAAGGAGAATGTACATGCAAACTTCATGCAGAAAGACCCAGGGTCGGGAATTGAACCCAGAACCTACTGGCAACAAGGTAACAGTGCTACAAACTGTGCCAGCATGCAGTCCATAATCCCAGGCTGCATTGTGTGGAACAAACACACTATAATGAATGCGTTTATAATGCCTGTGTTAGAATGCATTATAGCTAAAGTATATAGTAGGATGATTTGGCCCATTGTTAGTGACTGCTTAATGTTCATTTATTAATACTGCCTGCTGGAAATTGCCCTTTACATTTGTTTTTTGGCTTTAGGTGGGAAGTGGCAGATCCAGGAGAAGGGTGTCTTAAACATCACAGCAGTGTCCTTTGAGGACCGTGGCCGCTATACCTGCGTGGCCTCAACCGGCATCGGACTCACCAAAAACTACACCGTAACTCTGCGTGTGGCCTACACTGACAGTGGCCTTGGAGTGTACTTCGTTGTGGTGTGCTTGGTGGCCTTCGCCATCACGATGGTCCTCAATGTGGCGCGCTTATGCATGGTCAGCACCCACCTCAAGGAGACTGAGATAGCCATTAATGAGTTCTTCCGCACCGAGGGAACAGAGAAGCTCCAGAGGGCATTTGACATTGCAAAATCCATCCCAATAATAACCTCAGCGAAGACGGTGGAGTTTGCCAAAGTCACCCAGTTTAAAACCATGGAGTTTGCTCGTCACATTGAAGAGCTGGCACGCAGCATTCCTCTGCCGCCACTTATTCTGAACTGCAGATCATTTTCAGAGGAGAACATGAATGCAGACTGTAATCCTGCAGAACTGCAAGCAGCAGCTTCTAAAAACAGACAGGCTTTAGGCCCAACTGGTTATAACAGAAAAGAAGAGAAAGAGGTGTGTTTGGCAATGCTGTCTAGTGATAGACAAAGGATCAATGACGACTTTAAGGTGTCACTGCATAGAATAAATGTTGACGTGGAGGATACAGATTACAGAAATGAGAGTAATGCATGAGATCATTAGGTCTGGTTGCAGGTTGGACTTTCATCTGTCTAATCCTTAAAATGTAGTTTTACCTTATTCTTATTTCTGCGCATGGTGACAGCTCAGGTTCTCAAACATCTGCTGAAACATATTTTAATTTTTTTGTTCTGCTTTTTTATTTCTTTTTCCCATAAAATTTTCATTTTTGTGTTTTCTCTTTATAAAGGTTTAGCTAATTTAACTCTTTCATATGTCTTTTGTTTTTTCTTGTCCTCATTATTCCATCTGACAGACCGGTAAGCCTCCAGGGAGAAAATGTTGCCTTGTAATGTCATTGTTCTAACATCTCTATTGTGGTCATATCACTCATGGGAATTGAGTTTTGTGAGGCTTGATTGCAATCTCACGTGTCTGTTTACACAGGTCTTTTGTTTGTCTCAAAAGCAGTTAATTACAGGGCCTGAAATAAGTCATTCAGCTGAAGTGCTGAATATTTTGAATCTAAAGGGACCTTTTTTAAACGATTTTTGCAGGCTTGAATCTTATACAGTCTACACAATGCTTTCTGCAGAGAATGTTTGATTTGGTTCTTAAGATCTATTGATTAATTATGTGTTATGCAAGGTTTTGTGGGCAAACTGTGTTGCATGAAAGGTGAAGTTGTTACTCCTATGGATGTTATTTTCAAGGAATGCATCACTTTCTTTTTTTGTTTATAAAAAATAGGCACAGGTTGTTAATATCTGTATGTTTATCCTTCCTGAAGATGAATTTTAAAGATGTCTAAATTATGTTTACAGTAATAAAATACTGTCACAACTACTTCGTTTCTCTGATGGTATGAAGTAAACCAAATCAATTAGAACACCCGCGAAATGGGTTGAACTGAAAGTGTTCAAGTAGAAGGTGGAAGTAGAAGATGAACATTTTTTTCTGTCACAATGATGGAAAATGAGTAAATGTTGATGCTGTAAAAGATTTAAGCTGAAATCAATCTAATTTTCAGGCTGAATGCTAAAAGTGAGAAAGACTTGATGATTTTGCTTTAGCTATGGTTACCTCAAAAGAAAATCATCCAGTTGTTATTCTTTTGTATCAAAATGGCTGCCAATCATCTATGAAGAAGGCAACAGAAAAGCTTTATGAACCATTTAAAACTTTCAAGCTCAGAGTTTTAGCTGCAGCAAACAAGGTTTTAGGATGTCTAAGAATTTAATAAGCAAGCATCAACGCCCTAATTTAGAAAACAGGTTAAGTTAATCTGAGTAGAGAACAGGTATCTTCAGTCAGGTGAATTGGCTTTATGATGTTTAATATTTTCAGTTTGAGAACAGGTGAAATCAACAATTAAAAATTCAATGATTGAAGAGAAAATGATGGCTTAAGTGCTTCAAATGCGAGTCGTGGCTCAGATGTTTTGATCGATTTAATGAGGATTTGATCTATATGGTAACAGTTTAACGCCAAATCTCTGAGATGTTGGCTTACTTTCCAACACCCCCAGGCTGAGGCCCAGGTTGTAGATGTAGATGAGGACCTCACAGAGCTCGTCTGCACAGGTCTTCAGTAGCCTTGGGGGGGATGTTGTCCAGTCCTGAGGCCCTCCTGTGTTTCAGCCTTATCAGCTGGCCTCTCATCGTTTTTGGTTTGTTTATTTTAATATGGTGTACAGGAGTTCAAACAGACATACATTATGTTTCCCTATGCTGTAAACATTTGAATAATAAATACATTTAAACAATATATGTAAATATATGTAAACATTCATTTCAACAAAAATGTGTGTCATAGCCATAGAGTTCAGTGGTCATAACCTGTAACACAAGTCTCAGTGCAGCGCAGTGCCAGGCAAAGAAAGTGGCAGGTGTGTCTCGGACCATGGATCCCAAAGGGGAAAAAAAGAAGATACCTGATGAGAACAGAGGATTCAGAGAAGAATGGACCAAATCATTTGCTTTCATTATCAATGCAGAAGGACTGCCTGCATTTTTGCTTTGGCACGAGAATTTGTCAAATTATAAAAAGAGTAATTTGGAAAGGCATTTCCAGGGAAGGCTAAATATAAAGCTGATCACAAAGATGTGAGTGAGAGAAAGAATGCGATTGAAGAACTTCTGGATAAGTTAGAGGAGAGCAAAGATCGATTTAGGAAATGGATTGCATCTCCAAACTCCACTACTGTTGCTAGTTTTGTTTCAAGCATGAAAAAACCGTCCACAGATCAAGCAGGTAGCGCTCTGATGCAGGGATGTGAATTTTTTTCTATTTTTTTTCCCTCCCAAATCCTCAGAATAAAAGTAACACCAAGGAACGCTGGTGACAGAGGATGCGGCATTTCAGGGTTAGAGAGCTCTGCTCTGATGGATGTCAGTTCCTGCTTGGTTCCTCATGACTCAATCAACTCCTTCCAACAGAAACACGTCCACCATAGAAAGATTCCTTTATCATGTTTCTATAATTCCATCAATGCAACAAAACTTAAACTGTAGCTCCTCCCTCACCTCATGCTGCTATCTGACGTTTGCTCCAGGATTAACATTTAACCATGAATGCTTTTTATATATTTAAGCCCACGTAATCTTTTTTTTGTAGTGGTCTAATACACTTAGAGCCTGTGTTGCCATACAAGGCTTATATAAGACTTTTACATTTTTGTGGCTCCAGACAGATTAGTTTTTTTTTTGGTCCAATATGGCTCTTTGAGCATTTGGGTTGCCGATCCCTGACCTATACTCTTGAAACTGTTTCCTAAAACTATATCTAAAACCTGAACTGACAGCAAACACCCCTGTCTGTCTAAACTCTCAGGGAATCTGGACAGCTTTCCAAAGTAGACACATGATATGGCCAGGTAGCGAGGCTTCGTACTTCATCTTTTTCAACTCCACTTCTACATGAAGCAAGCCTCCACGTCTGCCTGGCTGTGTGTTTCCTGGACGGGTCCGCCTTTTACAGTTGCTTTTTGTATCTCTGCTTCTGTCTCCTTGAACCCCAGTCGGCCTCGGCAGATGGCCGCTCACACTGAGCCTGGTTCTGCTGGAGGTTTCTTCCTTTTAAAAGGGAGTTTTTCCTCTCCACTGTCACTACAAGCATGATTAGTGTGAGGGATTGCATCCGAGTCAATGAGTCGATGCAATCAACTGGTTTTCCTTAGATAGAAAACTTTGGATCAATTTGACTGGATGATCTGGTGAACTGTAAAGTACCTTGAGATGCCTTGTGTTGTGAATTGGCGCTATAGATATAAACTGAATTGAATTGAACTATTCAAAACACCCTCAAGGCCTCGGCTCTTATAACATCACTACAATGGGTTCAACTTGTACTGTGACTAAATGTATGTGCCTTTCTTTATCCATTTTGGCATTTAAAACTGGCTCCAGGGTTGTCTGCATCACTTTCTTTCCTAGAAATAGCCACCCATGGAAAATATTTAAGGATCAGTGCCTCTGTCTCCTTGAAGCCTCACTCGCCCTCTGCTCACACTGAGCCAGGTTCTGCCAGAGGTTCCTTCCTGTTTGTTCTCTCCACTGTCGCTGCATGCTCTCTGTGAGGGATCCTGTAAACCCAATGACACACTGCAACCAGCTAGCTTTGCTTAGAACAAGTTTAACCAGTTTCTCTGTATGATCAGACTGAATTGTTTCAGCAAGAGGCTTCGAGTAGATGTGTTGTAAATTGGCACTATACAGGTGCTGGTCATAAAATTAGAATATCATGAAAAAGTAGATTGATTTCAGTAATTCCATTTAAAAAGTGAAACTTGTATATTATATTCATACATTACATACAAACTCATATATTTCAGATGTTTATTTTGTTTAATTTTGATGATTACAAATGACAACAAATGAAAATCTCAAATTCATCATATCAGAAAATTAGAATATTGTGAAAAGGTTCAAAATTGATGGCCCCTGGTGCCACACTCTAATCAGCTAATTAACTCAAACCACCTGCAAAAGCCTTTAAATGGTCTTTCAGTCTAGTTCTATAGGCTACACAATCATGGGGAAGACTGCTGACTTGACAGTTGTCCAAAAGACGACCATCGACACCTTGCACAAGGAGGGCAAGACACAAAAGGTCATCGCTAAAGAGGCTGGCTGTTCACAGAGCTCAGTGTCCAAGCACATTAATAGAGAGGCGAAGGGAAGGAAAAGATGTGGTCGAAAAAAGTGTACAAGCAAGAGAGATAACCGCACCCTGGAGAGGATTGTGAAACAAAACCCCTTCAAAAATGTGGGGGAGATTCACAAAGAGTGGACTGCAGCTGGAGTGAGTGCTTCAAGAACCACCACACACAGACGTATGAAAGACATGGGTTTCTGCTGTCGCATTCCTTGTGTCAAGCCACTCTTGAACCACAGACAGCGTCAGAAGCGTCTTGCCTGGGCTAAAGAGAAACAGGACTGGACTGCTGGTGAGTGGTCCAAAGTCATGTTCTCTGATGAAAGTAAATTTTGCATTTCCTTTGGAAATCAAGGTCCCAGAGTCTGGAGGAAAAGAAGAGAGGCACTTCATCCACGTTGCTTGAAGTCCAGTGTAAAGTTTCCACAGTCAGTGATGGTTTGGGGTGCCATGTCATCTGCTGGTGTTGGTCCATTGTGTTTTCTGAGGTCCAGGGTCAACGCAGCCACATACCAGGAAGTTTTAGAGCACTTCATGCTTCCTGCAGCTGACCAACTTTTTGGAGATGCAGATTTCATTTTCCAACAGGACTTGGCACCTGCACACAGTGCCAAAGCTACCAGTACCTGGTTGAAGGACCATGGTATCCCTGTTCTTAATTGGCCAGCAAACTCTCCTGACCTTAACCCCATAGAAAATCTATGGGGTATTGTGAAGAAGAAGATGCAATACACCAGACCCAACAATTCAGAAGAGCTAAAAGCCACTATTAGAGCAACCTGGGCTATCATAACACCTGAGCAGTGCCACAGACTGATCGACTCCATGCCACGCCGCATTGCTGCAGTAATACAGGCCAAAGGAGGCCCAACTAAATACTGAGTGCTGTACATGCTCATACTTTTCATGTTCATACTTTTCAGTTGGCCAACATTTCTATAAATCCTTTGTTTTTATTGGTCTTCAGTAATATTCTAATTTTCTGATATGATGAATTTGAGATTTTCATTTGTTGTCATTTGTAATCATCAAAATTAAACAAAATAAACATCTGAAATATATAAGTTTGTATGTAATGTATGAATATAATATACAAGTTTCACTTTTTAAATGGAATTACTGAAATCAATCTACTTTTTCATGATATTCTAATTTTATGACCAGCACCTGTATAAATAGACTGTACTGAATTAAATCCAGTTAAAGCAGAGGGTAAATATGCAAATATTAACCTAGTATTTCATATTCTTCTTTGTTTTATAGCTATATATATATATATATATATATATATGTATATATGTCAGGATATATCTTCTGAAACATAAGGCTATCCTGCTAAAACTAAGGTAACACATCATATGCTGCAGACTAAAAAGAAAACTACAGCCTCTGGAATGTTGATGAAGAGAAGACTAAGAACGACCTAATTTTAATAAAGAGGTACGCTGTAAAACCCTTATGATATTGTCAGTAAATCACTTTCTTCTTGGCTTTTTTCTGGGAGCAGCATTGTGAGAATTAATTACTTACTTGTTGTTGTCAGAGGAAGGTGCTGTTTGTCTGACTCACTTTTATTTTGGACCACGTCAGCATCATCTATTACCGTATTAAGGGACGTTTGTAGTCGTTAGAATAAAAAAATCTAATCATTAACAAAAAAACAAAATGCTTTGTTTTGTTTTGACATTACTCTCATTTATTACTTCTATATTTTATTAAAGTGTTAGCTATTCAATCACAGGTGAATGTTTTCAACTGAAAAAAATGACAAATATGAAATGTAAATTCTAATACATTTTATGACATATGGTGAAGACAGATTGATGTTAATCATTGTGAGCTGCTCACTCAACCTTTGTGATCAATACATTAAAAACAAATGGCCACAATGGCCCCTTGGTTACAGGGAATCTACGTTTATGATGTTATAAAATTGTTAAAATGCAAAAAAAAAATAAAAATAAGCCAAGATCACATCTGGGATAATACACAGCTGGGCATTCCATCACATTTTGCAAACTCACCGTTTTATTTATTCTTTAGGACAGTATTTTTTGAAATCTAGAAACCCAAAACCATGAGTTTTACTTTCATGTTTATGTCAGTCACATGGTTACAGTAAATGTATGTCAAAAAACCAAAAAAACAAAAAACTAAATCAAATGGTGGCTAGGTGTCTACCATGTCTACCTGGAGCACAGATCACTTGCTGGATAAAGAACGAAGCACAAAGGACCTCAAGTCAAATAATAATATAATTATACTGCAAACAACTAGATCAACATTTCTTATATCCTTTAGCTAGTTTTTCTTGAGATACATCATCAGACTTGAAGTAAAATAAAAAGAAATGATTAGGCCTGAATTATAAATTGCATAGTATCAGTGGGATTTAGCTGAATCCTGTGTTACCAACTTTGTATGATCCCTGTTTTCTAATCTCGCCCAACGGTGTGTGTATCTCTAGGCCTGTCAATGCGATAGACAAACTCTGCGGGCAGGAAATACCCCAGGTACTCCACGCTGTCAGGCGTGGTGTCAATGTAGTAGTGACCGCCTTCTCCGTGGTGGCTGAAGCCATGGGTGTGCTCAACGCGCAGGTCCAAGCCCTGGAATCACAAGACATGAAAGACTGCAAAACCTTGACCTTTAAACATGGATCCTATTGAGATGGATGCTTGTGTGCTTCACTTACAGGGTCTCTGGAAACAAGCACGGACTGGCAGATGAAGGGAGCGCTAACCTCAAAGTGCTTCAGCCAGTTGTTGACATCGTCATTGGAGTTGAGAGGGCAGGTTGAGAACTCTCTTGGCTGTTGGACGATCCAAAGCACAGAATAAATGAGAGAGTATCTTTCAGTAGCTAAAAGTCACATGTCAAAGAAAAAGTAAGTAAGTAGTATCAGTCTATATCAAAGTTGTATGACTAGCATTTCTCAACAAACAGTCGACTGAATGAATGAATGAATAAATGGGAATATATTTCAGACAATTTGACAAATGACAATAAATTAATCAACCGAATACACACAGAAGAGACTTGTTAACATGAAACCAAACACCAATTTCCAAAGTAACTAAATTCCCTTCAACTTAACTTAACTGGTTATACAGTCACAGGTGTCCCATGTCAGGTTTAATAACTGGGATTTCTTGCCTTATAAACGGGGTAGGGACCATCAGTTGTGTTGTGCAGAAGTCAGGTGGATACACAGCTGATAGTCCCACTGAATAGACTTTTAGAGTTTGTATTATGACATGAATAGAGCAGCCAAGAAAAACGAGTGGCCATCATTAACTTAAGAAATGAAAGTCAGTCAGTCCGAAAAATTGGCAAACCTACGTACATTTGTTTTACTTTCGGAGTTTCCAAACAAGATAAACTTGGATTTATCCAAATTTAGTGATAGTTTGCTGATATCAAACCATAACTTAAGTTGCCACAACTGAAAGTTATCAGCCATAAGCTGATCCAAATCATCACCAGCACAAAAGATAGTAGTATCATCTGCAAAAAAAAACAAATGTAAGTATTTTAGAAACTTTGCACATGTCATTAATAAAAAAGGATAAATAATTTTGGCCCTAATACTGACCCCTGGAGGACACCACAAACAATGTCCAAGCACAATGACTGGCAGTTACCCATTTGCACAAATTGTTGCCTGTTGCTTATGACTTCCTTCAGAGCAGTGCTACTCCCCGGATGACATAACGCTCCAATTTCTTAAATAATATTTCATGATTTATCGTTTCTTATTATCTAAGGCGCTGGTGACTTCTATCATCCATTGCTGTAGACCTTTGTGATCTAAATGCATACTGACTTTAGGAAAGCAGTTTATGTTTATTATTAAATGTATCTAATCTATCCACAAATAACTTCTCCAAACTGTGGAAGTAGAGAAACAAGCCTATACTGTAATTTGTGAAATGGTGTCTTTGACCAGATTTATAAAGAGGAATAACTTTGGCAATTTTCATCTTTTCTGGTAATTTAACTGACTGAAATGACAGATTGCAGATGCAAGAAAGAGGCTGAATAATTTACTCATTTACCTTCTTAATTACTGTCATATCAATGCAATCACAGTCACTTTACCTCTTCTTTTTACATTTGTTGACAGAATCTTTAATTTTCCTTTCTCTCCCAGCAGTGAGAAACCTTGAATAAGGATTTCTGCTGATTAATTCAGAGCTCCAGTTGTTGTAGGATGCAGGATTTTTTCTGCCAGTTTGGGTCCCACACTTACAACATATTTATTGAAATTATAAACAACATTGTTAATGTCCTCAAAATTGTTATCGTCATTTACAAAAATGGCAGAAATTTCATTTTTCCCAGGGTTTTTCTTAATAAAATTATTCACTACATTCCAAATGCCTTTGATATTTTTCAGATTTCTATCTAATAATTTACTGTGATAATCCTGTTTAGATATTCATAGAATAGGAGTTACTTTATTCTTAACCTCCAAAGACCTTATGAAATCTCTATATAGCTTGTTCTTTTTTTGCAGGCATTTTGGAAACCTTTTGTGATCCATGGAGCTTCTGAGTATTTGTTATCATGAGAAAATATTATTAATGGACAGTTTTTATTGTATAATAATTATCATGCGCTATATTTACATCTTCAGTTTAAAGTCCTCTAATGAGATTTCATACAAACCATCTCTGTAAACACAGTTCTCTCCACCTGAGGCATAAAGCAATGCCATGCTGTCACTGATCCTTTTATTGCTGCACGCTGCTGCTCAACTGGCTGAAGGACAGCTACTATGTTGCACCGTACATGAAAAACATTGTTCGTCTTCTTTTTAAAGATTCCGTATCAGAAAAAAATTGACGACCATGGTGAGGAAGCTTAAGGAGCGTCACCGATCCTCATTTTAAGAAGTCAGTCTATTAGAGATTGGTCATTATCTTAACTGTAACCTTACGATAATCAGACATTCCTCGTGTGTTTAAGCTAACTTTGGCGGTTTAAAACTGTTTAAACTGAAATTTTTCACTTCACAGGTAAAGAACTCTGAGTTAGCAGATATTAGCAGCTCTATTTATATCCACCTGGAAAACTTCTATGTTTTATTGTGAAGGTAACACCAATTAAATCAGCTATAGCAAATCAGCTATAAATCAATAACCTCCTCTAGGTCCAACAGGAGGCACGCTACCAGTAATCGGTTAGGTTTTGCATCAGTGATGCAACTACATCCAATTTCTTTATTATCAAGGTATACTGGACACCTTTCCAGTCCTCCAACCAGCCGACAGTTATATGCCATCTTTCCACTACAGGTAAAGCAACCTCTAGCCATAATTTGATCATAACAACATCACATAAGGAAGGTTTAACAAATCTAGATAGTCTGGTTCAGGCCTGCAAGCTGTTTAAAATAAAAGCAATCAGACTGTGATACACTTTTTGTTTAAAATGTTTGTGTCAGTATTAAGAAATAATTCAAATATTATACAGTTGTATTTTTCTTTCATGGTCCAGTATTTACCATAATGTGAATTTTAGCCTTCCCCTTTTGGATGATGAAGGTTCCTCCCAGAGCAAGGCTCTTATCTGGATACTGAGCTTCCAGAGTCTTCCTCAGTGCCGTTACCAGACTGTTGCTTCCTGTTCTCTTTTTGGCTCGTACCTCTATGACCTAGAAAGGGGCACAAAGACTGAGGGTGAACGATCAGCTTCATCAGCACCTGACCTTCAGTTAATGTTTGAAATGCTGACAGGACACAACGGGGCTAAAGTGCATAAAGCTAATAACAGAGTTAGGTTAATTTCTCTCAAATATTTACCAGATATTCCTTCATTGAACCCCTAAAATAACAACTTGCGCATTATCTCTACTGCTGATACCTTTCCAGGCTTCCCCTCGCAGGCATATAGATTCCCCAACAGTCCAAAGCTGCAGTCAGAGAATTTGTCACTGTACTTTTCTTGCAGACACTGGCCATCTGCTGGGTTGATAAAGGAAAAGTAGCTCCCATTGACAGCCGGTCGTCCCTCCGCCTCAGTGAGGACAAGAGGCATGAGCTGCAGGTCACAAAGTTAATTTTATAAACTTCTACATGAAAAAAAAAAAAAAAACTGCAAGTATAACAGAGAATGACATCACTTTCAGGAGTCCACTGCTTTACCGTTCAACCTGAAAAAAATGATACAGCTTTGAGTTGCACCACATAAATGGTAAATGTCACATAATAACCTCGATACTTTTAACCTCACAATAAAAATAAGTTGTGAAAATCTCTGAGCTGTACCAACATGTTATGTTCTTTGTAAATACATATGCATGTGAAATAAAACCGAAATATAAGTCTTGCTGGGGGTTGCAAAGCAGCACAAGAATCCCAGTGCATATGTAAACCAAAAAGCATATTGCCCTTAGGCTTTAACGCATGCATGCATTGTCTGCCCTGTGTGATCACTGCAAAAACGATCCAGAAATAAGTAAAGATTTCACTTCAATTTGAGCGGGTAATAAGATGATTTGCCAATAGAATGAGTAGTGTTGCTCTTAAGATACGATAACTAGATAATATGCAGTTGAAATATGACATTGTAATTGTTTTTTTCTCATTCTAAATGTAAATTGCCTTGTTCTATTGGCAAAGTGTCTCACTTACCACATAAATTCAAGAAAAAATGCACTTCTTTTAAGAAAAAAATGACTTATTTAGATTTCTATTTTTTGCAGTGATGGGATGTGATTGAGTAGAAAGCAGTGGATGAGAATCATCATTGCCCCCATATGTCATCAGCATCACAAATTGGACACCAGGTAATAAGTTTTCCTGGTAAACGTTAATAATTAACCAGTGCTGTGAGAATTCGGTATGTACTATATGGGGTGCTGCGCTGGAGGGGCACCAAAGCCACGGTTGAATAATCAAATCTAGAACAATAATTTCCAGAGAAACATGGGGGATTTTAGAATGAAAAGAAAAAAGACCTTTCTAAAATTATTTAAAGATAGGTAATTTTTTGTCAATCTATCAAAAGAGGGATTATAAATATTACCTACTGCTGTTAAAAATGACAGTTTACTTTTGTTTTGCAACGGGTAAAACAGTCAGGGTCCTCCTTTCTAAAGAAAAAGCTAGCAAATTCTGCAGCTACTCCAGGATTTTATTGGACCAATACCATTTTAATGGTATGAAAAGGTTTTTCTGCATAAGTTATGTTTTGTAAACTTTTTATGTAACTTAGCTCAAATCTAAACAGTTTAAAGAAGTGATAAGTTTACTTTTAGTTAATATGGTTTATCAGGACTTTATCATGTTTGACAAGAAGTTGGAGCCTTAATAGGAAACAAATCATATAACAGTATATTTTAACATTTATTAATTAGGTTTTTGCTTCAATAAATACAGTTAATCAGGTTAGGCCTGGAACAGGTTTATGCGTTTGCACATGTGCATGCATCTGGTGTATATCCAGATATGTGTATATGGTTTATATTTTACAATTCTTTTAATGAGCTTTGAATTATACAGTAAATATTCTAGATATATAAAAGTACTTATATTTGAATTAAAATATCAATGATAAAGATACTCATCTAATAAAATATGTAATTCTCCTATTGTAAAAGCTGACCATGTGAGAATTACAGAATATACTAATCAATAAATAATATAAGAAGTTTTTAATACAAAATAGTAATATGCAATAGGGGAGTGGTGGTTAGAGTGTTGCTTTTGGTGCCAGAGGTTCTGGGTTCAAGTCCTACACCCTCCCACAGACTGCCACCCTGGGTCCCTGTTCAGGACTCTTAACGACACACTGATCCCGGGGCGCCACACAATGGGAGCACACTGCTCCCCAAGGGGATGGGTTAAATGCAAAGAGTTAATTTCCCCATTGTGGGACAATAAAGGGTTTACATTTATGACAGAAAATAATATTGAGAAAAATCCTTTTATTAAAGGTATAGTGGAGGATGTTCTTTTTCCGGGTGGATCATCAAAATAAGCGGTCCTCCTAATTGTCAATCATTCTGGTGATATCTGGTGATCTCAAATGCATCTGGAGATCTGGGAGGCTTCTTGCTGTCTGCTGACATTCAAATAATGGAGGTCTATGGTGCCCGAGGCAGAAAGGTCCATAAAAGTCCACAAAAAACATGTCAATATTCCTCCATACTGCTCGTCCAATGTATTCCAAGTGTCCTGAGTGGGTGGCGTCCATCATTTACTCTAAACTAAGTCATTTAGAATGTTTTTAGAGCATAAACAGTAGTTTATAGGATTTCCTAAAAGCGCGTTCATGACGCTACGGAAACCGCGGCAGACCAAACCAGATGAAAGTGCGCATTCAGCTCGGCAAAGAACTCATGCTCTTCCTCAACACTGAAGTCCTCAGACATTTTTATTTCGTTGTTTCTTTCTTTGCACAGGTAAACGGCACATTTCTTCTTCTACGCTTGCATTATCGGCAGAGCAGACGCTGAATGCGCACTTTCATCTGGTTTGGTCTGCCGCGGTTTCCGTAGCGTCGTGAACGCGCATGTGCGCGCTTTTAGGAAATCCTATACACTACTGTTTATGCTCTAAAAACATTCTAAATGACTTTGTTTCGAGTAAATTATGGACGCTACCCACTCAGGACACTTGGAATACATTGGACGAGCAGTATGGAGGAATATTGACACGTTTTTTGTGGACTTTTATGGACCTTTCTGCCTCGGGCACCATAGACCTCCATTATTTGAATGTCAGCAGACAGCAAGAAGCCTCCCAGATCTCCAGATGCATTTGAGATATCAAAAAAGTACTCCAGAGTGTTGTTCAGCATGGGGGTGAGTAAAAAATGAAGGCTAATCATGTTTTGGGTGTACTATTCCTTTAATGGTGAATATTTGCGACAATTATGAGAAGAAAATAGGAAGACTGTTTGTTGTTAATTTTTGCTTGTTTAGACTAAGATATTTATATAAAAATAGACACATAAGCCTTAGTGCATTTGATCACTCACCTCAGCGTTCATCCCGACTATTCTGGAAGGGGCGGCTGCTGCTCCAAGGATAAAAGCTCCTGGCAGCTCCAGCTCTTTGGATATTATGTTCATATCATATTCCTAATAGAAGGAGGGATTTTATTAGATTAGATTTTATTTTGTGTTGTTTTTAATCTAAAAGGCCAACTCCAAAAAACTACCTTATGTTTTTGAGGCAAAGGGATCAGATAGGGCACACCTCCAACATCAGTAATGCGAGGATTCCCACACAGACCTGCAAAACAAAAACATAGAAAGGTAGAAATGAGACAAAACATGACAGGAGAGCATTATCCAAGCATGTGCATCATGTCTGTAAATACCTCTGACAGGGAAGTGGAAAGGCTCCTGGGTGAGATCTGGACACTCCACAACACTAACTTGAACTTCTGCAAAATTGGTTTCCAGCCCAGCCTGCAGCACTGAAACCAGCAAGCAGCGCTGGCTTAATGAAAATGCAATGCATGGACAGGTCACTCTTCATCTCTCCAGGATGAAGTCCTTACCTCCCCGCAGCTCTTCCAGGACCGGAGCGTGCAGCTGAACTTTCTCTGTTTTGCTGATATCTGCCATAGCTTCTCCTATAGAGGCTGTGAATCTGCCTATTAGCTCTGCTGTCACATGCAGGACTTTGCACGGTTGAAGTTCAAACAAAGAGGAGACACTGACAAGATGGTTACCCTCCTTTAGGCTCAACTGCGACAACATGCCTCAATAACCTTTAGTTTACAATGAGAAATTAAGCTTATATTAATAAAGAAATAATACTAATCACGGCATCATTAAGATATGACATTTCTGCTTTTGTTGTTTTATATAAATCCTGTGCAATATCAATTAGATTTGCTCTATGTTTTACGTTAGCTTTGAACTTTAAGTGTAAAATGGACAGAACGCTCTTGCTTCCAACAGCCGTTCTGTGCTCTTTGATGATTGGTCATGGGATCCTTCGTCAACACAGCAACGAAACGTGATTGGTTCCGCCATATTGTGAGAGGCATGCTTGGAAACGAGGGTTTCCGGGGAGGAAATTTTCATTCCATTTGATTTGAATTTATAGTTTTTATATCCGTCAATTTTCATGTGACTTAAAACTAAAATTATTTTTTAGACTAAATATTTAATTGCTACTTTTTAATTGATACTTTGGATGTGTAATGTCTTTAATCCTAATTTTAAGGTGTAAATTAATCTTAACAATAAAGAATATTGTTTATTATATTAACCTTGTTTTTAAAAATTTAGTGACCACAGTGAATTGTTAGGGTATCAGATGCTTTAATGTTTTTTATAACATGTGCTGGTTAAGATTCTCAGTCATCCAGGTAAAGCCATTCAAAAAAAAAAAAAAAAAAAAAAACGAATCTTAAAAAAATAAATAAATAAAAAATAAAAAATCCAGTGGACTTTGTTTCCAACTTTGAAGAACTTTCGCCTACCAAAAGCCTCCTGGATGCAAAGCGAAACATCTTCAAACCTGGAAATAAAGTCCAGTGGATTTGTTTTTTATTTTTGGGAATTTTTAGGGGTAGGCTATTATTATTTTTTAATCTATCGACTGTTATCCGTGTATTCTCTGTAACCACTTAACAAAGTCCCATAAAAATCTATTACAACAAAACAAAACAAAAATAAAAACTTGCCACTCATAATGAGCCTGTGAGCCCTAATAGATATTTGGTTCTGTTGGGTACCAGCACAAGTAAAAGTAAAAAAAAAAAACTGCAGATAAATTAAGTAGAAGGGCTTTAGACGGGGCAATAACAGGAATTATTTAGTTTGGAAAACTGAAGCATTAAGAGTAAAGAAACAGAAATGTTACAAAAAAAGGTGGGAGGAAGATGATAAAGGAAGGTATTTGTATAACATACATAAATCAGCATTATTTAAAATAGAAAAATACAAAGGAGGAAATAATAATGACTAGATCAAGAGTAGGTCATATCTATCTAAATGGCATTCTTTGTTTAACCAGTAATAAAAATATTTATAAATGTAAGGGATACGGAGGAAAAGAAAATGTAGAACAGGTACTGATGAATTGTAAAACATCAGGAATGGAGTCTTAAAGGATTACAGGGAACGGTTGGAAGCATAAATGACTTCTATTCAGTAAGGAAAGCATTATTTATTTTTCTGCATAATAAAAAAAAGAATAGAATGTAGTGGGTGTGAGATGTTACTACATACTCATGTACAGTAGGTGGCGGTTTTCACCTTAAAGTTGCTTGGTAACCGCTATAAAAGAAAAGAAGAAGAACTGGAGCACCCGTCGCAAACTTCCGGTCTAATGCTCACGTGACGCTTCTTCCTGCGTTCCTCACAATGCTAATGCCTGAACACTTTCTCTGTTGTCTTTTTCATTGGAGATATGCCGGTTATTTGACTAACTCCACACTAATTTGGGGATTTTGTATGTTCTTTTTTTCTTCTTAATGTATAGCTTCGCGGTTCTTAATGTCTGTGGCTAATAGCTGCTAACAAGATGTCGGAGTCGGCTCCGTCTTCTTCATGTGTTCCCTCGGATAACTCCCCGTCTGATCAACATAAGCAAATATCGCGAGACCTCGTGTCCACCCTGGAACAGTCGAGTGAAAAGGATACAAGCAGGTAAAGACTAATGATACCAATCCAGCAGTTGGATAGAATCCGATTTTTATTCTGGATTTGTATCCGTTTGTCTGAGCAGTGATTCAGGTGACAGCTTCTTCATCACTCAGAAATGTAAACCACCCAACGTGAGATCATCAGAGCCTCAATATGACACCTTCAGCGCAGAAACGGGAGAAAAAACGATCAAGAGATCCTACACAACACCAAGGTTCATCTTTCGTTTTATCAAGAAGAGGAAAAAGACTAGGTTATCTTATTATCAGAGCACAAAACTGCATGTAAGCCCACAGAAAAAAAAACTTAAATACCCCTTTATTTAAGTTGCATGGGGAATAAATGAACAATATGCATATTAATTGTGCTTTCAGTACTATGCAATGGGAGGTTACTTCAAATGTGTGGAGAAGCTCTGGAAGGGTTACCAAACAGGAGAAGACCTGCTGGCATCTCTGCCAACCGTGGACATAGATGGAGAGACCATATCTCCACTGTCAGAGTAAGTTTGATTAACCAACTGCTTTATTTAACAATTTAATCAAAGTCAATGTAATAACAACAAATGCCAACTTGTTTGAATATATTAAGAAAAATAACAAAAGTGCTGCTATAAGAAATTCATGAAAAACAAAAGAAAAACACGAAAGAAACACAATATTTTTTGGTCCAACATAATTTCTCAGTGGGGTATAAACCTAAATATAATTGTTAACTGGGTTCATTAACTTTTTAACTTTTACTTTTTAACTTTTCAATTAGCTTTTTGCCTTTTTCTTGACTTGTTTTTTTTTTCAACTTGATTTACAGTAGGTAATATATCATTCAAGGGCTCATCTAATTGGTCAAATGCCAAAATAAGATGTACAGCCATGGAGCGGTATCTTTGCTGAATGGCTGGATATAGATCTTGTGCTTCTAGACTTCACTGAGAGATGGGGTAAGGGTTTTAAGGGGTATGCAAGTGTTAAATCAGTTTTGAGGAGTTATAGCTGTTTTTATTTCTTTTTATACTTGTAGTTTACATTATAGCATGCTTACTGTTGTGTTTTTTAGGTAGACAATTTTAAGATCTGTCCAGAGACAACAGATGAAAAATAGCCTTTTGGCTAATTCTGGTGCATTTGCAGGAATGCTTTTTAATGTACACTGTCCGTGTCAGATAAATAAATTAACTTAAATTAAATCAAAAAAGTAACTTGCTCAATAAAGGGTTTTAAAGGGTTTACATTATATGAAGGTTTGTTTTAACCCAAAAAAATCACATCTGTCCTCCTCAGCAAAATTCTATCGAAGGGGAATAAAGGAGCAGCTAGTGAAGCAAACAAAAAAGTTGGTCCACAAACTTCAACTAATGATGCCTCAGTTAGAGGTTTAACTTAAACAGTCAAAATCAGTTCTAGATAAATTGATTTTTCTTGGGTTTATTCCAGATCAGTGGAGCATAGGAACGAAAGGTTTCTTCTCCATGTTTGGATCTAGTTCTTGAACTAAAAGAGATGAGTGGTCTGAGAGGTTGATCAACAAATCTGTTATGCATTGAGGTGCTGGTCCGTTCAGTGATTAATAGACTGAATTGTTCTTCAGGTGATAAAAGACTGATTTATGTCTGAGTCCCTCATGACCCCAATATTTCAGCCATAATCAGCTGTTTCTAACTGTATTATTGCTGTGAGCTAACTCTCTCCTCCCTTGCTTTTTTTTGTTTTGTTTTTATTCAGTTGATGAAAAGTATTGCACATCCTCAAACTAATCTGTTCTAAGTAGGGCTTGGCTATAAACCGGATTTTTACCTTCACCATCATTCACTACAATAACCAGCACCAATTTTCCCATGTCAGTAAAAGAAATAACTTAATTCTGCCGTTTTTCATGTATGTGAGTGTGGCTGGTATTTCCATTCCCCTTAAACACGCTGCAGCAGGTGGATAATCACGTGACTCCACCGATGCAGTCAGAAGCGTACGCAAGGAGGATGGTGGATGAGCCCAGTTAAGAAGCAGCTAACACAGCTGTAAGCGAAATCAGTTAATCCTGCAGAGCTGGGCGGAAGCAGAGATGAAGCTAAGCACGCAGAGAGTGCATTGTCTGAGTGTCCAAGTTCTCACTGCACGCTCAGTTTGGTGGCACCAAAATTACGCCATAGTTACACATCCAACCTCCACCACCCGGGGCTCTACTGGGAGATTTTTTTCAGGCCAGGAGTCGGTCATGTACCCAGGCCAGCGTTATCCTGAGGTCCCAGCTCTCCCTCACATCCAGTGGACTTATTCCTCAAATGCCCATTAAAACAAAGGCTAAAAATGTGTATTAAAAAGCAGAAAAAGGGATATTTGTGAATTCTAATATTGGAACACAGAAGCAAGAAACATTTACGTACAAGGGTTTCACTTCTATCTGTTAAGCAGTTGCGTCTGGCACAATTTCGGGGATCTTTTGCAGACAGTTCTGTTGGACGCTTGGAGAAAGATAACTTTAATGGTTCAGTGGTATAACCTTCGTCACATAAAAAAAAAAAAAAAAAACATGGTTCACAGCCTGGAACAGGAGGCTTGCGTCCTTTTAGATTTGGGTCATCATAGAATAGATAAAGAACTACTCCTTATAAGCAGCGACGAGTTCTCTTGTCAAGCAAAAACTCAAACCAAAGCTCAGAAACCGCTCTCTGCATCAGGAGGCTCCATTTCTTCAGCCTCTGAGTAAAAATTGGACATTTGTGCCTTTCCTCATCCATACGCAGCCATTTTAATGTGTGTGAAGTGACTGTTTAGTTTTGGGACCAGCTACATCTTCTTTACATAAAGGTGACAGAGCCCCAAAACAGCCCGTTCTGAAAGGAGCTCAAAATATGCAGAACTGAGGAGGTCAAATCTATTATCTGTTAAATGTGTTGAAAATGCTTAATGTAGAGTAGATCTATATGTTAAACTGTGGCATAAAATGCCTGAATTACAAATTGTTTGCAGAGCTCATCTTGATGTTTGGGCTTAAACATTTCCACAGTATTGTGAGGAGTTTTGGCTCAGACTAACACTTCTGAGGGAGGCTCCATGTCAGGCTGACTCTTAATCATGTGCCTCTGTTGTAGAGAAGATGCTGAAACCACAGAGGATAAAGACTTCAAAGTGGTGGTGAGTGTGTCGCTAAAAACGAAACTAAAAATACCATTCTGGGAATCTGCTTGAGGTAAATTTACAACTTGAAACTGTTTGTTGACTCACAGGAGAAGAAACGCTATGTGGCATCTACCGGAAAAACCTCCCGACCTTGGTACACTCCAAAAGAGAGGTCCAGCGAGAAAGGGCCACATACCCAAAAACCTAACGATGCAGGATACAGAACACAGCGAGGACGGGGAAAGGCGACGCGTAGAATATCGACTTGGACGCCCTTGTCGAAGGGAACGTCCTCTAAGTTGAAGGAGTCCGACGAGGACTCAGAAGAGTCGGAGTCAGGACTTAAACTTGTGACGAAGGCTCGAGGTCTCCCAGCCGAAACGGAAAATATGACTGTATATGCGGAAGAAGGAAAAAGAGCGAAAGGTCATCATCAAAACGAAAGTGGAAAGATGCCCAATAACGACTGCGATGCTACAGATAGCGGCGCACGCATGAAGCAATGCGACAGAGAAGTAGCAGAGATTCATATTATAGGGCATGAACAAAGCAGTTTGGGAGGTGAAGATAATACAGATCGTTTCATAATTGTTACAAAGGAGAGGACAAAAAAGAGAGGAGGGAATGATTATGTAGATAAAGGAAAGGGTCAGCAAGAGGAGAATAAACATGAAAAAAAAGATCTGAGACGGGAGGAAGGGGGACGATCAGAGGATTGGAGTGAGGATGACTTTGTCAGGATCACTGAAACTTGTATAAGTAGTCAGGATAGGAGGGAAAAGACGGAAGGGGCCGATGAGATGGAGGCCCTAGAGACCAGACAAGCCGATGATCGACCTGTTCCAAAGAAAAAAAGGAAAAAAACATTTAGTTCTTCAAATCTGCATCAAACACAAACAGAACACCTAGAGGCAATAGATCAGTCAGAGCAGGAAGAATCTGCTGAGAAAGCACAAGAATCTATAGGCTGGAAAAGAAAAAAGCACAAAAAGCAGAAACACCAGTTGCCTTCTGATGAAAATCAGACTGACGCTGCAGCTGTGGTGGAAAATACAAACTTTTCTGTTAAAAAGAAGAAAACCAAAAGAGTGTCAGAGTTGATCCAAAATGAAGAAGGTGAAAGCGTTGATGATACTCTGAAAGAGAAGCAAGATGTTGAGCTGGAGAACAGATGGAGGAGCTCTTCCTTCCTTACTGCTGATCAAGAGGAAGAAGTCGACCAGCTTCATGAGGAACAGCTCCCTCCCCTGCAGTCTGCATCTGCTCATAGGGGTTGTTCTAGAAAACCTGAGGTCAGCAGCAAATCAGCAGATGGTCCTGAACATGTGCTAGAATCAGAAGGGGGCAAGAAGGAAAAGGAGAGGTCAGCAAGAGTCCTGGAGAGGGAGGAAAGCGAGCCAGAGGAAACATCAGAGGCAGCGGTCAGGAAGAAGAAGAAACGCAAGAGAACCAAAAGCCTCATGGGAACTTTGGAGAGTGTTTCTGATGAGGGGCAGTCTCAATCTGGACAAGCTTTGGTTAAGAAGAAAAAGAAACAAAAAGGCACACAGGAGGTCCCCCCATCTGCCGCTGAGCCAGCTGAATCTGAAAACTCCCCTCCTAACGTCTGCGGCTCACTTCATTCCAGTCGAAAGCTGTTCACGACACCAGAAGGAAAACACAGCGAAACATCTCATGTTTCCGGTGTATCTACTGAGAAACGGGTCCCAGAACCTCTAACTGAAGGTGCTTCAGATCCTCAAACATCTGGTCATGTAATAAAGAGGAGTAAGAAGAAACATGCTGACAGAAATGATCCTAATTGGAAATCATTCCATGAAACTCAAGATACACAAACCAAAGAGGACAGAACAAAGCCACAGAATGGTTCCATGTCCACTCAGTCTAAAAGCTTTCCAGGACTCCAGGAGTCCTCATCTCTATGTAACAAGAGGAAAAAAGAAGCTAAAGCTAAAAGAAGACTTCATAATCCAGATGAGGACTTTCTCTCAGACCTAAACCCCTGATCACATATGAAATTTATTCAATTTTATTGTAAATAGTCATCAGTTTTAGGTTGACAACTTTCAAACCTTTGGATTTTTAATTCATTGTTTTTTTTATAATTAATTTTGTTTCATATGGAAGCATTTTTAACAGAAGTAATTTTTAACAGAATGTTGACCTGTTGATGAGAAAAATAGTTATATGAAATATTTTGTTAATAAATTTGCAAAAAACGTCACTATACCCACTATACTTGTAATGATATGTTTTAATTGTTTAGCAGAACAGTGCATATTCATTATCCACTCAGCTCCCCTTTAGCACTTGTAGAGAAAAATCTCTGGAGCCGACGCAGGTTGCTGCATTCAACTGTGAAGGTGTGGTGCACATGTACAGTGATATGGCTACACTACTTCCTATTCAGGGATACAGGGAAGTTATGTTTTACACTAAAACACTAAGCAGCATCCACACTCCTGATGATAGCTGATTTTTACTCAGTTTTTCCTATGAAGTGATGCAAGAAATTGGTGTATTTGAGGGATTACCTTAAAGCATATCCACAGCTGAGCTTTCTTTTAACTCTTATCAGTAAACCAATCAAATTATATAAAGGCACAGTAATCTTAAAGGTAGTGTGGGGTACTTTCGCAATTTTTTTTATAAGACCTGCCCTCTGTACTTAAAAAAAGAATGCATGTGCGAGAGCATGCACGAGCCTATTTCTCGTCATGCACGCTCGGTTTAAAAGTTGCTGTTCTCATAGCTCACACAAGCTTACTGTTCCGGAACGTCCACCCTAACCCCTAAATCCCTCAATCACTATATAGAGCAGAACTCTGTTAGCTGACCATACAGGCAGATGATCACTGCTTTTTGCACTCCTCTACTGTGCGGTGCCTGCGCCTGCTTTGTTATTAGGCGCTGCTCTAAGGTAGCGACAGCGGGCCGCTGTGACAGCAAATGTCATAATGCTTTGTGAGGGGAGCTCTCCGCGCAAAGCATTCAGGGATACATCTGCCTCTTCTAAGGCCTTTCTTCTCATATACTTCGTAAAAACTTTTTCTCTTCAAAGAAAAAGTGAGAAAGGTGAACTTCAATGACTGAAACCGTAGCTCCCCACAGATATACACCTGAAAGTGTGCATGCGCAGAAAAGGATAGCTAACGGGACGAGCACGTTGGACGGCCTTACATTAACGTATCACTACAATGATTGACAATTAGGAGGACCACTCATTTAGATGATCCACCCAGAAATAAACGATCGTCCTCTATTCCTTTAAAGTCGTAGAGACGTCATATTTAAATGGCAAATCATTCTGGCTTAAACATGTATATAAATGTACTCTTTATCAGACCATATTGTCCCAAAAGTTTGATTGTTTGTATTTTTTTTTTAAATCCTGTCTTAAAATCTGTGGGGTTTTTTCATTATCTTATGCAGGCCAGTTAGTTATACGTCACCTTGTACACCCAAATTCTGCCAATCATATATCAACGGTCGTTGATTTTTGACTGGCCGCCTCTTTCACAGCATCTTTGTCCCTGCTTTCCTCCTTTAAATAAAAAATGTATGACAGAAGAGACTCATCCATGACCTCTGACACAAAACTCTCCTCCTCTTGCATGTTTCCGCTGTCCATAGTGTTCCTTGACAGTGTCGTTGCTAAGTGCTTCTTGGTCCCAGTGTGATTTCCCATTGGGAACCTAGTAGTATTAAGTTGGTAACTTGTTAGCACGATGCTTCCGACAAACCGGCCACAACCAAACTTGCTTGCGAACCTTCCGCCTTGATAATTGACCAATCACATCGACTTTATTTACTTGTGTAAAGCCGGGCACCACCCCGGGAGAATTCGGAAATGCAAAGTTTGGAACAGCCGTTTCCGTACAACTTTAAAAGTACTCATTCCATTGTCAGATCAATTATTACTTATTTTTAGATCGTTCTTCCAGTGCATGATGCAGTGATGACAGGAAGAGGATCCTCTCACTGTCGTTTGCAGGATATTAGACAAACCGAAATGTCTGTTCAGGTGTGAAAAACGACAATATGAACCCTGGAGTTAATCACGTTTATTGCAAAGGAACATCAAGGACTTTAACACATCTTCACCACTATTCCTGATTGATAACTGACCAATCACATGGACTTTATTCACTCGTGTAAAGTCGAGCACAACTCGGGAGAATTCGGAAATGCAACAGTTGGAACAGCCGTTTCCCTAAAGCCCGGCGTACACTGTGATTTTTGGGGAGATTTCCCAGTCGTGCTAGAATCTTTCGATCGGGCCGACCTTCAGCCTGATCGTGTGTCATGTAGTGTACAGCGGATTACGAGCGGATATCAGCCTCTCACGACCACCTCCCGATCAGGAATCGTGAGGTCGGGAGAAAATCAAACGTTTGTTTTTCCCCCAACTGTCTTGGGCAAAACGCTCAATGGGCATGCGCAAACAAGTATTCTTCTTTTTATTCCTCCTCTCAGATGTAAACACAGAAGCATGGTGGAGGTGCAATGAATGAAATGGAGTTCTTTCTGTAAAATTGACAGACCGTAGTAGCCACGTTTTCTCAGCCATGTCTTTGTCCAAATATGTTGTCACCTTTTCTTTTTAGGGCTTTCAGTACAAAAATGCACAAATTGCCAAGGCAATGCGTTTCACTATAATGAGCTTCATATCCCCCTTCTACTCGTTTGGCTTCCGGATAGACGTGTCAGAGCAGCTCCATCTCACTGCGGAGCTGAGTCCCACATGCTTTTCATCTGTACAGTGTGAGCAGGTAGATCGCATGAGAGCATCGGGCCGAACATAAATCGTGAGCTTTGAACTCGCACTGTACAGCTTAAAGGAATAGTACACCCAAAACATGATTAGCCTTCATTTTCTACTCACCCCCATGCTGAACAACACTCTGGAGTACTTTTTTGATATCTCAAATGCATCTGGAGATCTGGGAGGCTTCTTGCTGTCTGCTGACATTCAAATAATGGAGGTCTATGGCGCCCGAGGCAGAAAGGTCCATAAAAGTCCACAAAAAACGTGTCAATATTCCTCCATACTGCTCGTCCAATGTATTCAAAGTGTCCTGAATGGATAGCGTCCATAATTTACTCGAAACGAAGTCATTTAGAATGTTTTTAGAGCATAAACAGTAGTGTATAGGATTTCCTAAAAGCGCGTTCACGAGCCTACGGAAGCCGCGGCAGACCAAACCAGACGAAAGTGCGCATTCAGCGTCTACTCTGCCGATAATGCAAGCGTAGAAGAAGAAATGTGCTGTTTACCTGTGCAAAGAAAGACACAACGAAAGGAAAAATGTCTGAGGACTTCAGTGTTGAGGAAGAGCATGAGTTCTTTGCAGAGCTGAATGCGCACTTTCGTCTGGTTTGGTCTGCCGCGGTTTCCGTAGACTCGTGAACGCGCTTTTAGGAAATCATATACACTACTGTTTATGCTCTAAAAACATTCTAAATGACTTCGTTTCGAGTAAATTATGGACGCTACCCACTCAAGACACATGGAATACATTGGACGAGCAGTATGGAGGAATATTGACACGTTTTTTGTGGACTTTTATGGACCTTTCTGCCTCGGGCACCATAGACCTCCATTATTTGAATGTCAGCAGACAGCAAGAAGCCTCCCAGATCTCCAGATGCATTTGAGATATCAAAAAAGTACTCCAGAGTGTTGTTCAGCATGGGGGTGAGTAGAAAATGAAGGCTAATCATGTTTTGGGTGTACTATTCCTTTAACGCAACAGCTGCGTGCGACGACTGAAAAAAATCGCATAGTGTACGCCCTGCTTAAAGGGGAATTTCGTTTTTTTTTTTTTACATTTGGCCCTTGATTTTACGTTATTACATCATGTTCTACTCAACCATATGAGTTTGGAGCCGTTCTGAAGATATTCCGTTAGGTTATATCCAAGTAACGTCTTCCTATGGGCAACGACTTGAAGGCACAAACTGAACTGTTCATAATTTATCATTTATGGTACGCCAGCATTCATAACATGTAGGCGAATCACTGTACCCCTGACATCCGTGGTTATATTTTTCATATTTATATCTTTCAAAAATCAAACGGCGCGTGTATGACGTCATCTGCGCAGCAACCTGGTTTTTTTTTTTTTCAAAAAAAAACTTTATTTAACCAATGTACATTACACCAGGCAGCTACGCACTACCTCTTCTATTCGTTCGGCTAGCTAATCTGAATCGTTCAATTCCATTTCCAGAGCGAGATCCTCTGTGGTAGTAGCACTAGACATCTTCCAGGCACGTGAGTAAAACTAGCAGCAGTTCAGCGGACAGGAAGAATGAACGGTAGCCAGCGCGCACAGATGACGTCATACACACTCCGCTTTGTTTTAAAAACTATAAATATAAAAAATATAACCGCTGATGTCTGGGGGACAGTGATTCGCCTACATGTTATGAATGCTGGCGTACCATAAAGAATAAATTATGAACAGTTTAGTTTGTGCCTTCAACTCGTTTCTCATAGGAAGACGTTACTTGGATATAACCTAACACACCTAACGGAATATCTTCAGAATGGCTCCAAATGACACAAAACTCATATGGGTGAGTAGAACATGATGTATTAACGTAAAATCAAGGGCCCAATGTAAAAAAAAAACTGTGTTTCCCTTTAAGACCTTAAAATATGTAAACCAGTGAAAGAGGAAACTTTGATTTTAACATGAATAAGGAGAAAATGCATGTCTTTATATATTTGGTAGTTGAAAACCATCTTGTTTTATTTGTCAATATTCTTTGTAGAAGGCTGATTATATATATTAAAAAAAAAATTGGTTCGTTTTCTGTAGTCTATTTTATTTTGGGGTGGCCATGGGCCTCGTTCTTTCTGTAACAGCCCCTGGCCTCGGTAACAGCTGACCGGCTCGTTACGTCAGGACGCAGCGCTGACTGAGGATTTAAAAAGGCGCGTCTGTAGCAGCTCCAGGTGGAAACTTTCCACAGCCTCCAGACCTGCGCGTCAGCGTCCGCAGCTCCCACCATCCAGTCATGTCCCATGGCAACATCAACAACATCACGGCGCGCTTAAACGCGGCCAGGAGAGTGGCGATCTTCGGGGGGACGCACGGGAACGAGATGTCCGGCGTGACATTAGTGAATCTGTGGATGCAGAACAGCGCGGAGATCCAGAGGAGGGGAGTGGAAATACAGCCGTTCATCACGAACCCGAAGGCTGTGGAGAAGTGCGTTAGATACGTG